AAGGTTTAGATGAACAAAGTTTGCCCTTTTTTCAAACATGGGATTCTAAACTTCACCCAAATAATCATGCAAACTCGAATAGATCACAAAATCAATCAGTTTATATTTTCTACTCTAATTCAAAGCTCTCATTTGTCACAATACAATCAATTTAATATATATTTCCCAACATATCTATAATTTGATTCTATTTTTGTGAATCAAGATTAAATACAAGAAAACAAAACACTATAAGTGACGAAAAATTCATTGTCTAAAATACCAATAATCCTATTTTAAACAGAAATATCTGTTTACATTTACTATTTAGTATCCAATTGTAGCAGGTTTTTGAAAGAATCAGGCACATGTCAAAATGGTGGATTATGTTATGAAAATGCCACTACAATATATTGCAATTGTCCAAAAGGCTTTACTGGTTCACGTTGTCAAATAAGTAAGCTTTACATAATAAAGTTGATTTTTTCAAGTGATGTGTTACAGTAAGTATATATATATATATATATATATATATATATATATATATATATAATTTTGGAAGTAATTATTTTTCCTTTATACTCTTTCTTATATTGATGAAATCATATTCACTTTAAACAACTCAACTGTAGAAGGTTTCCTAATATATTCCGTCATAGATTTTATGTCAAATGCTATGGAAATAAACCTTTGAATGATTTAACTTAGTATAGAAAATTCAGAAAGATATGTGTACTTCTTACACCACCCCCCTCTTCAATCGTAAATTTAATCAGGTTCACTAAATCCATACAAAACTAAGTGAGGAAGTTTAATTTTAGAGATTGCGAATTAAACAGAATTTAGTAACAGAATGTAACCAGTATTTCATTGTACAAATTTACAGAAACTATGGCTTAAGTAGTATAATTTTCATAGTTGAGATCATGAGTTTAAAAAAAACACAGTCTAATTAGCTGTTTTAACTGATCCATTGAAAGAGTAATAATTAAATGTGAGACTTAACAATGATGCATTATATTCCATAATAAAACTCATGTTCACAAAGCGAGAACAATAAAACTCAACAAAATTTATGTCATTTTATTTTTCATGGATTCTTCAACAAGCATATTATTTTTTAATTCATAACATACTTATTAAACTACTTAATTCCTAAATTGTTTTTTTTCTTTTTGCAAATTTTATTTTGTCACCTTTTTGTGTTGCTAATCCTGCGCTGAACATATTTAACTAAATTTTTTGTGTGAATAAATACTCTAAATTACTTATTTACTTTGGAAAATAATCTAATGTATAAAATTATTATTATTATTATTATTAATGTTTTCTTAATAATTGTATACTTGATCAGCTGATCAAAGCGATCAATAATTTTCGAGATCGATTTTAATGATGAATCAAAAAACAAACTATTTATGGATTTGGGTTAATTATTATTTGAAGTAAGAATAACAATTGCTACATAATAATGGGAATTTATCATACTTAATAAATCTTCACTTGGTTACAGTATTAACGGTATTAAAAAAGAACACAATGTTGTTTAGTCAAAAAATAGTGACTGTGAATGACCAAAATGAAAAACATCACCAATTATATACATGAGGTGGCCCGTTAATCTGACTCCATTCAGAGTGTACGAGTGTTTGCTATCACCTATTCTCGTATATCATCGTCGACTTAGATCGCGTTCTCCAATAACGGAATTAAATAAGTCAAATAACGAGAATTGGTTTGTGAATACATATATTTTGTATATGAAGTGAATGAAACAGAGCCAAGCAAAATGACGCACAGGGAGGATGGCTGGGAAACCAACGCCATTTTAATCAAGCATTACTCAATATTTATAGGCAGACAAAATAAACTACAGACATGTGATTAATAGGATAAGAAGGTCACACAGATATACGCTCATATAAAATCAGTCTAGATTAATAAGCGAATAAATAACAAGGTCAAAGTATGGCTCGAGTAGAATGAATAAAATGTGATGTCCGAAAGCTAGAATAAGGTATATGGGCTTGGCATAATAACTGACACTACATACATAACGTTATTTGACAACTAATCCAGAAGGCATAAAGAACGTGATAAAACAGGAACCCAGAACTGAAGAATTGATAAATTGGATCTCTGAATTGTCTTCAAAAGTCTGATAAACTTTAGATACATTTAAAAACTATGTAATGAACAGAAAGTTATTTTTAAGAATGAATTAACAAATAACTAACTATAGATCAAAGAAGTCGAATGAGTGCACTTTTCCATCCCATTGATAAATTGGCAATTATCAGTATGGGGATGCGTGGAGATTCTGGTAAAATAATAGTTGTCCAGATGGTAAGCATTCGCACGCAAAACCGAAGGTCCTGGGTTCGAGTCCTGGGCGTGGGATCGTGGATGTACACTAATGAGGAAACTCATACTAATATGAAACCGCCGTCTAGTGATTCTAGATTTTCAGTGGTGGTTTAGCTTAAACTGACCCGTGAATTCAACTGTTAAAATTGGTAATTGTTTATTTTCGGATACATAAGTTTGATTTAATAACAGGAAATGTCTTCAGCAATTATTTTAAATGATTTGTAAATGTCAGCAAAAAGATTACAATCCGTACAACTGCACAATGGAAGAGGAAGTTTTATACTGGTCACAACATAAAACAAACTTGATTAAGTAACTAAATCAAAATTTTTATTAACTATGGTTTTATCAACAATAATAAACATTTAACAAACCCAATCATCCAATGAATAATAAATAAACACGACGTTGACAACGATATTATTGGAATGTTCAGTAACGTATTTGGAATTTATAAGCATTTATTTAAAGGTTTACTGACTGATCAAGGCAAGGGACACATAAGTGATAATATTGGTTTAACGAATAAAAGACCGTGTGATTTAGCTTGTTTTTTCCTCTATTCATCATAAACGTTTAGTGGAGAGTAAATAAAATCAATCTGGAGTTCAACTGAATCAAAATGTAAATAAATTTGTCCTGTGATTGTTTGTCTCCGACTGAATTATTAGAAACTAACTATAGTGTTAAGTTACTTAAGTATAATTCTAACAAACGCTTAGTGGGTAGATGTACATAAACATGTTATGGATTCAACTACAATATGATTTCAATCAACTGTGGTAGTTACTATGGTATATACTAGTGAATCCTAGTTCCATAAATGACTTATGTCTACTTTGAATAGAATTAAGTTCATACATACTCAATATCAAGGAATACTGAAAAATCATTAGCTAAAAAATTCTTTTCGTTATTTTACAATTTATCACCCAATACTATAATAACCTAGGTGAAATCATAAAAAATTGCTTTGAATGTTACCTTGTAGGGGCTTGGACTCGTTAATCAATCACCTTGATAACCGTTGTTATATAAATCCCGCGGTACTTGGAACCAGAAGGCAATAAGAAGCGGCGACTACAGTTTATTAGTGGATAGCACAAATCACAAAGCTACAAGTATATCGAGCGGATTTAGAGCAGAGGCGAATTTATAGTCAAATCGAATAAGGTCACAGCAAAGCAAAGGCTATTATTAGGATTCGAGTACATAATATACATGAGAAAGAGAATAATTAATCGAGCGATATTGAAGCGATTAACATTCAAGGCAGATTGAAAAATATGTTCATAGGCTATCACATGTGATCAAGAGTACACGTTTATACAGACATGATACTGATCATAATAATATAAAGAAAAAGACAAATTGTTATTGTTCGAACAACATTATCTGTTAAATAAGTTGATAAAAGGGTTTGACAAGATTAACCATAATCGAAATTAACCGTAGGACTATTGCTATAACCACTTTAACAACATCTAAACCATTCGTAATGTTTTTTTTTAAATAAGTATAATTGGATAAATAAAAAACAAGTCAAAAGTCATCTTGATAGTTAGCTAATGAGTACAAATGAATTATCATTAACGAATATTTCAAGTTTCCTGCTAGAGAAATACTTCTTATTATCTGTAAATTAATTAGAAACAAAACTAATAATCATGTTCATTGGAACCAAAGTTACTTACTTACTTACCTACTTACGCCTGTTATTCCTCGTGAAAGAGCATAGGCCGCTCACCAGCATTCTCCATCCAACCCAGCTCTTTCCAGTTGTTATTCATCTTTTTCCTGTCTGCTTCTATTTCCCGACGTAATGTGTTGTTTGGCCTTCCTCTTTTCCACTCCCCTTCAGGATTACAAGTTAGGGCTTGCCTCGTGATGTAGTTTGACGATTTGCGTAATGTATGTCCTATCTATTTCCATCGTCTTTTCCTAATTTCTTCTTCAGCTGGAAGTTGGTTTGTTCTCTCCCACAGAAGGCTGTTACTGATGGTATCCGACCAATGGATGTTGCGCAGGCAACTATTTATAAATACTTGTACCTTCTTGATTGTGGTTGTTGTAGTTCTCCAAGTTTCAGCTCCATACAGTAAAACTGCCTTGACGTTCGTATTGAAGATTGTGACTTTGATATTGGTTGAAATTTGTTCTGAGTTCCATCTGTTCTTCAATTGAAGGGATGCAGCCCTTGCTTTGCCAATCCTCACCTTTACGTCTGCATTTGAACCTCCATTTTCATCGATGACGCTTCCCGGGCATGTGGAGGATTCTACATCTTCCAGAGTTTCACCATCGAGAGTGATTAGATTGCTGTTCTCCGTATTGTATTTGACGATCCCGAACCAAAGTTGCTAAACTTTTAACGGATTCTAGTGATAAACCGTCAATCCTGTTACTGTTATTATTGTCATCATACATATAATTGAATACCTATAAGAGCAGTTCGTACAAAAGACAATGTTCAATTTAGAGTAGACTATAAATTGAAATGAAACATCATTTTATACAGGTTTTTAGCTACAATTTAAATATTATAAATGCCTTATATACTGTATTTTGTTATTATTTTCTTTTAATGTAATATATTCATTTATCAAGAGACTTCCAAGTATTCACTCAATAATGTTTTATTAATATTATAGTAGCTAGTGACTGTAATGAATTAAACAATTATTGTCAAAATGACTGTGGTCAAGTTCCTGGCTCAAAAAATTGTAGATGTCCACCAGGTTATTTTCTTGCTCCAGACAAACGAAGATGCCTTGGTAAGCTATATATGTTATGCAATTTACAATTAGATCAATAATATTTTTGACATTTCCTTCCATACTGATGAAATCTAGTTTCATAGAGTATGATAAGAGTACTAATTAATGACAAATAGAAAATCAGGGTTTTGAAATTTGAAAAATAATAAAAGTTTAACAGAATGTTGAATAAACTATAATGTACAAGTAACATTAAAGCTAATTCATTACTTAATAAATATATAGATTAATACGAAATTCTTATAATTCGTTTGAACTTCAGTGATATAAAAATTTTAAAATTATCATCCATCATGGATTGATTGAAGTTAGACAATAACACCGTTGGATGCCGGCCGCCTCAGTGGTCTAGAGATTAAGCGCTCGTGCGTGAGACCGAAGGTCCTACGTTCGAATCCCGCGAGCAGGATCGTGGGTACGCACTGCTGAGGAGTCCCATTCTAGGACGAAACGGTCGTCCAGTGTTTGCAGGTTTTTAGTTATGGTTTAGCTTTAATTGACTTATGAATTCAACTATTAAATTACATTAGTATAAGTGTTCAATAATATTTGTTTCTTAAGAATTTGGATAGATTATAAACATAGGTTATTGTTAATTATAACATTACTCAATGTAATGGATTATTTCATTGAAGAATACTTAGTCTATTATCAAATTTCATTTATTTTCTACCTGATATCTCAATACTAAAGATTCGGGCTTTGATCTTAATGTTGTGAATAGACATCTAGATTTTTCTAAAGTGTTAAGAATAATTAAAATTTATCTTATAGATATAGATGAATGTAAATATGATCGAGGAGGTTGTATGTATTTTTGTGAAAATCTTCCTGGAGGTTATCGATGTGCTTGCCCTTCGGATATGGTTTTAGCACCTGATAAGATTTCTTGCATACCATGTAAGTTGTTATTATTATGTATATACAAATTATGTATTACTTTAATGCTGTTTTATGCTAAACAATGTTTCATAAGAGATGTGGCTATTTGAAGTAGGTTTCAATAAAACTGAAATCTTAATATTCCCATTTTAAAATTGGTTAGTTAACCAATAAGTTAATTTTGTTCATTTGTTTGTTTCCAGTTTTCTACTCTACTGCTACTATTGTCGATGTATGTGAATGAGAAATATAACATTATTCCTACGAATGAACAGGAATTACTAGATTATAATTTGTTCAGATTCTATTTAAACTTTCGTTTAATACTTTTGTAACGTTGGTTATTCATTGGATTGTAACCAGTTTAATGTTAATTTAGTACTTAGTGCTGATCGAATTTCATTGATCAATTTATAACATGCCCACTAGTTTACATGACTTGACATAGTGTGTAGTATGTTTCGATATTTTGCTGTCAGTAGTTATAAATATCTCGGTCCTACAAATAAGCATTTGTAACCAACAATTATAAGTTAGCATGAAAAATTGGTGCATATGTTCCAGTTGACTAACAAAAATCATCTAACATACTTTTCTATCGTACATCCAATTATAAATCGCATTTTCAAACAACAACAAAAAATACAAAGACGATATTTGATATGTTTCCAAGAGCGGAATCGAGGATACATACTTCCCACCCCCGTGTGTTACTCACCAGATGAATGTACTTCCACCCCACCATTAATAGTCATAGTGCTACCCAACCCAATGCGTTTCACCTCTCATTGCAAACTGACTAAAGTATGTGACTAAAGGCTATATCAAGACAATCCGTCTATGATTTACATATGACAAAAGATTTTGGTCAATCGTTGTCTTGAATATTAACCAATTGTTATTAAAAGTATTTACTAATAACAAAAAGAATACTGTAGTTTTATACTTTAAATCAATGCCCAGAAGCTAATTAAGGACGCTAGTAAGCAAGAGGGCTTTTTTCCACTTTCTTTAATTATAAAATTCTCTTAACAGTTAAATAGTCAGATAGAACATTAGACAAGTTTGCAGAGAATGTACAATAATAATTCACATACTTATTGACGCCTGCTACGACTCGTGAACAAGCATGGAACACGCACCAGCATTCTCCAACCAACTCTGTCTTGAGCAGTCTTTTCCAGTTCTTTCCGATCACCATTCATCCTTTTTATATTTACTTTTAATTCTCGACGCAATGTGTTCTTTGGCCTTCCCTTTTCCGTTTCCCTTTAGGATCCCAAGTCAGCGCTTGCCTTGCGATACAGTTTAATGGTTTCCGTAACATATGTCCTATCCAACTCCAACGTCTTTTCATAATTTCCTCTTCATTTGAAAGTTGGTTAGTTCTCTCCCACAGTAGACTGTTGCTGATGGTATCCGGTCAACGGACATAACTTGCATAGACAATTACTTATAAATACTTGTACTTTGTCTGATAATCGTTGTAGAGCAGTTCTACAAGTTTCAGCTCAGAACAATAATAATTTATCAGACTATAAAATAGTACAGAAATAAAAAAGTCAATATAAGCATACAAAGTAAACAATAAGAGAAACGAAATTAGACTTCAGGTATATAGTACTTACAACAACAAGATATACACATTTTTATCATTGACAAAAAGTAAATACTATCAGACAGGGTTTTGTGGAGATTTTAGAAATTTCACAGGTTGAAGTCATGAGTTAATTGAAGCTGGACCACCATGGAAAACCTGGAAACACTGGACGGTCATTTCGTCCTATTATGGAACTCCCCAGCAGTGCACATCCACGACCCTGCCCCGAGGGATTCGAACCCAGAACCAATCAGTCTCGCGCGCAAGTGCTCAACCTCTAAACCACTGAGCCGGCATCCAATGGTGTTAATGTCTAACTTCAACCAATCCACGAAGTTGCGCCACCGTACACCATTGTCTTCAGTGAGTTGATATCTCACAACCGACCTGGTTGAACTCCACTGGTAACGAATTCTCACTAGAACTCCAGGAGTATGCCTTGAAGTCAGTCACTAGTGAGCAGATGATTATTATCAGAAGGGATTTTGTGGAGATTTTGGAAATTTCGCTGGTTGAAATCAGTAGGTCCTGGGTTCGAATCTCACAGGGGGCAAGGTCGTGGATGCTCACTGCTGAGGAGTCCCATAACAGAACGAAATGACCGTCCAGTGCTTCCAGGTTTTCCATGGTTGTCTAGCTTCAATTGACTCATGATTTTAACCGGTGAAAAGGTAAATATCTCGATTTGACTGTTATAAATTTTATGTTTTCTAACCATTTGTTTCAATTCAACTTTAGATAAGGGATCCATAACCATCTTAGTAACTTGAACTAAAAATTAAAAACAAAAACTAAATGAAATTTACCATTATGATAGTTCTAAATTCTAACGGAGGAAAAAACCATATTCTTATTTCAAATGTTTACATGTATTCGGAATATTATTTAGTTTACAAAAGTACTGACTGGTAACTAAGATGTAGATATTAGTTTTTTTATTAATACACTTAAACTGAAAATAAAATGTAAATCATGTTAGCTGTTAATAAAACTTTAATCATTCAATTCTAGATACTAAAAACAAAACGGTTTGATTCCGCATTGAGATAATTAGCTTATTGATAACTGATAAGCTTGATTCAATTTAAATTCATTAGCATAAATTTTCATTACATCAATCAAAATGAGTTATCTGTAAACTTATTTCAATTGCTTGAATCTTTGAAAATGTTTATATTCTTGATAAAATTAGTAAATTTTTTTCTTAATGAAGAGCTAGTCTTTAGTTGTATGGTGACCTGTTTAAACATCTGGGCTACCTATTCTTATCATCTAGATATTTCAACAAGTTATAAAATTTTTTTTTGTTTTAATACATTAATATGTCTATTAATAGCATAACCTATTCAGGTACATGTGTAAAGTGTACAACTTTGCGTTGTATATGTTATAAAAGATCTAATCAGAGATATTGTGGTTGTTGGTAATATGTAGCGAAAAGAATGTACATTGTTTAGATATCGATTGACTGGAATGTTAACTTCGAACTGGCGATCACTTAATATTTATTGTTAAGATTATTCAAGAAATAAGAAAAGGAAACTTGTTGAAATATTTTGAGCTAAAAATTCTATGTTGTACTAGAAAAATAATATTGAATAAAGCTAATAATAATAATAAGAAGAAGAATACTTTGAGTATAATTTTTTTGTTACACTTTGCCATCATCTACTGAAACCTTGAAAACCAGTATGTCTTGAACAGTTTTTTCATCTCCAATAAAAACGCTTAGGTGATGCGTACTTCTCAATCCCATAAAAAATATAATTGATACCCTGAAAGAAGACATATAGATCACATAATATCTCACAGGTATATAATAAGTGAAAGCTGAGTTTGAGTCAACTACTGTAAATGAGTTATTCGTCTAACAAGATCTCTGCTCACTTATCTATATCTGGGTCGGTCTGATAACAGATTTTTACGAATTAGTCATAGATCTAACGACCCAACTTTTGACAGTAAATCTACTCGCATAGTTATAGTCTTTCTCATTACTGCTGGTTAGCTTAATATTAAGAACATGATAGCGACTTAACCAGACCACAGAATGAAATAATTTCTCATTATACAATACAAACTTATTTAAACCTATAAAAACTTTCATCTAAATCTGAACGAATAGTGCCCTGGTACGACCGAGAGTGGGGAGAGTCCGCTCTCCCTCGAAAAATGCTCTCACATGGCCACGCGTATATAGCCTATGCCAGGGAAGTCCTACTCACTGACTTCTCGTGGCATTTCTGTTGTTTACGAAATTGAGAGGACGAAAAGCGAATGTCTGGCGCTTTACCTGGATTCCAAACCAATGGTGCACATGGGCTCTAGTATCCTGCGGGAACAAATGGCATATGAACCAATTGTTGGTCACCGGCTACCATGGGACTGCTTCTCCTTACGATGTTCCATTGCCTTGTGGATCAGATGTTCAGGTCGAAGGCTCCGGGTGTGGCCTCCTAAGAGAACCACCTGGTTCGGTTTGGGCACCCAGGCAGTATCACAGTCCTCACACATATCGAATGAGATTTGTGTGGTGCATATGTATTTGGTGCTTCCTTGTACCAATATCTATGTGTTAAAATAAATAAATAAACAATAGTTGAGCGCCAAGTTATAGTAAGACAGTAGGGAGGAAAAACATATTTGTAAAATCTTAGCAATTAAATTTGAAGTAAATTCAATGTTGCACTCGGAAATCTGGTCTAAACGTTTGGAAGAAAATATAAACAAACACCAACATTACAGAAAAAGCCTTTGACCAGATTTCTGAGAGAAACGTTAGGTTTCCTTAGAATTCAATCGCTGAAATTTTACAAATATATTTTTTCTCCTTAAAATTATATGGAATTTCAAATTAATCAGTCTAAAAATATATACATAGTCTTTTGATATTGTATGTGGTTATTAAATACCCTTAAGCAGTTAAACCATTATCTACTATTATTACATAAAGTATTTAATGAAAATAGGACAAAACATTATGATACTGTTATCTTATATAATAAGATATTTGATTTCAGTTTGGGATAACTACAAAATGTATTGTATTTCACCACCATTCACCCTCAAGCTGTAATCTAATTCGTATAAACGTCTGTCCGACCTTAAAATTCATATGTACAGGTGGAAGAGACATCAGAGTAGAAGAAGTAAATTGAATGTTTTTCCTTAATCAATTACTGTTCTCCCCATAGGAATAAGAACATATAACCGTTAGAAGTTAGACTGAAGATATCTTTTGCTTAAACATTTAATGAATAATAACACTCACTTTAACAAATCATTACAAAAGAAGATGAAAAGAAAATATTTTTTTTATATAGCAAGGGAAAGAGTAGAGCTAAAAGTGAACCTAAGTTATAACAGAATTCAAATCCCAAACTTTACTTATCGGGCTAGTGTTCTATAAATTGAGTTCCAAAATCTAAGTATCCAAAACACTTCAATTTTATTTCAATTTTAGTAAAAACATAACTTCACACTAGATTTAACCTAGGATATCTATGTAGTGTTAACATATAACCTCGTGAATTTGAATCCTACAGTTTATAAAATCGACCGTGATCCCTTAGTACTGAAATGATATCCTTATTCAGTATCATTGGTAAGAGACTGTATCACCTTGGTGTAAATAATTCAGTGTCATGACTAATATATCATGAAAAGCATTATGTATAGAGTGGACAATAAGCATATAATTATTAAGTATCTATATGTATCTGATGAGATCCGATATATGAATTCACAAAAGTTCAGATAAATGACTAGAGTAACATAGATTCATGGATAATAATTAATACTTATTATTCAGAAGGGGTTTGTGGAGATTTTAAATATTTCACAGATTGAAATCATGAGTTAATTGAAGCTAGACAACCATGAAAAACCTGGAAGCACTGAACGGCCGTTTCATCCTAGCATGGGGCTCCTCAGCAATGCGCATCCACGATCCCGTACCCCGCGAGATTCGAACTCAGGACCTATCAGTCTCGCGCCAGGCGCTTAACCAACTAGACCACTAAGCCGGCATCCAATGGTATTAATGCCTAACTTCAACCAATCCATGAAGTTGCGCCACCGTATACCACTGTCTTCAGTGAGTTGATATCTCACAACAGACCTGGTTATTTAGTCGAGAAAAGTAAACAATAGTTATTATTGGTCATTTACTTGAACTATAATTTAAATCAGATTTTATTATGGATTTCAGAAATCATCCTTAAAAACCATGATCAATTTATTTTAGACAGACTAATTAACCACATTCATTTATTTCTGTCCAACTTGTCTGTTTTTATTAATTCTGATAAAAACATAATTTTTTTTTGGTGAATTGAAAATCAAAATAACCAACAGGTTTATTGATAATTACTCAGAGATAAATTATAGTTCTTGCACATTCGATATTGATGTACTAAACGATATCGATTTATAATTTCTTGTTGTGCAATTCATTCACTCTTATTATTGATTGTAGCCGTAACATCAAGTTTGAATACAATCTATCTATAATCTACCGGTCACTTAATGTCTCTTTAACATTCAAAATAATTGTGTTCTTCTTTGTATGTTTCACTGATTGTTTAAACACACCTTATGTCAACAAATTTTTATGATTAGTAGAACGTTTTATTTTTGATCTCATTTTCAAATTCTCAAGGTTAATCGATTAATAAACTCTGAAGTTCACACTGACCATGATTTAATTCACTGTCATACAAGTAGGATAATCAGGTTGAAAAAAATGAAAACGAATGATTCTGATGGATTTCTGAGTGTATGGAATACAAAAAAAAAGATAATTCTAATGAATAAACGAAACATTTAACCTCATTCGTATTGAGTGACGTTTTCAAAATCGATCAACCACTACTATTTAATATTTTTTACCCAAATCATTATTACTGTCAAATTTTGAAATTAGTTATTAAGTCAATAACTTTTGTTTAGAACCAAACGTACATGTTGATGGTGACCACTGAAATCAAAATGCACATTTTCGATCTGAAAACTTATGATAAATGGGCATGTTTATTAATGACACCTGTTACTCCTTGAATTTTTATTGATCCAATTTCAAATGAAAATCAGAGTAGAAATACAACAGAGGGAAGAAGAAATTTATAGAATACTAATCATCCGTTGTATCCAACTGATTAAATTGATAAAATTTTGAAATTGATTGTAGGGTTCTGAATACTTTACCGAATATAAATTCACTTGTGTTGCATTTTTTATCATGAATAATATTGGTCTTTAAAACTAAGTTTATATCACATTTTTGGGGGTTATATTATTCGCTTGCAGTTTAACACTAGGAAAAAGAAGACTTTATCAACTTTAAATTATAAAACTGAAGTTTCGGTAGGATTTTAAAAAGAGGCGGGGTCGTGGACGAGCACTGCTAAGGAGTTCCAAAATAGGACGAAACAACCATTCAATGCTTCCAGGTTTTCCATTTCGGTCTAGCTTCAATTGACTCATGATCTCAACTGTTGAAATTACAATCTCCACGAAACCCCTTCTGTTAGTAATTTTTATCACTCTTTTAAAGAAAAATATCAAAATGTGTATTATTTTTGACATGAATTTTTTGTGACTTCTATTAAACAAACATCACTTCGATTCTCCCGGTTGATAGATTGTATAAAACAACTAAAAAAAGTCCTATTCATCCAAGCTTTACCTAATACTTTCAGCTTTTCTCCTTTCTACAAGAATAATTAACTGTACCCCTAATTGAAGAAGGTTAATATTTCCAAAAAGCGAATAATTGTCTTAAATTTCTGATACATTTTATTGATGATTTTGATATCAAGATGTAAGTCTTCCTTTAAATTACTTACAAAATTCAAAAAAACTATTAACATTATTGTAATGTCAAGTGAATTATTTCATTTGACAAATATAAATGATTGAAATCAGTTAACCAACAGTTGAGAAGTAATGAAGCTGACTTAATTAGTTACTAAGTAAGTTTTTCTTAATAATTATCGATTTTTTTTTAAAAGAAATTAAAGAATGTCCTTATTTGGAATAAGTGATAGTTTTTTTTGTTTTGAAATTGACAATTTTATATAAAAAATTTTTACAATAAATATTTTAATTTCAGTTTTCAATCCATGTGAACATCCTCCTAATGGTGATTGTGAACATATTTGTACAAGTTTACCAGGTTACAGATATATGTGTTCATGTAAACCTGGTTATCATTTAGCTGAAAATAAAAAACGATGCTTACGTAAGTATTATATATAAGATTTTAAAATAATGAATGAAATTTATACATGGTAAAATTTTTCAAACATTTATTTATATCACTTATTTTTTTTAATCAAAATCGGGGTTTGTGGAATTTCATACTAGTGTAGTGAACGAGAACACAAGAACGCAAAATTACATAATGTCTTAGTGAAATCTGAGAACCATGTAGTAAATACTTCATTTACAAAATGTTCATTAATAATCTCAAACTTCATTGTTCCTGCATTTTTATATCAATTGATTTCTGTTCCCATTCTTTCCTCCTCAATTTTCTCAAACTTCTGTTGTCAGACATTCTATTCCTGACTAGTACTATTTACTACTTATGTTGACATAAGTAGCACACACTACACCAAATACATTCGATTGTCTCCACTGTGATTCTCGTTCACTAAATTGGGACGAAATGTCTGTCCAGTGTTTCCAGGTTTTCAATAGTGATCCAGTTTAAATCGACTGATTAATTCAACTATTAAAAAATATTGGTTTAATCTGGAAATTTACACGTAAAGAATGATTACAGTTCCACTTAGTAATTAATGTACTATTTCATAAAATCAATAGCTACGATAGGAATGAATTACTTTTAAATGTATGTTAAATCATGTTTTAATTATAGTAATATTAAATCATAAATAAATACAGGAAAATTTAAATTGAGATTAGATGGTGGTTGGAGGTAGTCAACAGGAAACCCTGGACCCGGGTTTCGTGCTACTCGGCACTCGTCAGCAAGGTGTACCTGTATCTTGAGGGAACTGGTGCTCCCTGGCGGATTCGATCTCGTGTCACCCAGCTTCACAGTCAGAGACGTTACCACCGAGCTATCCGAGCCGCGATCGACCTCCTGTAGGACTGAGATGTAATCACAATTGATTGATCACTGGGTGGGGATCAACGTCATGCGTGTCTAGTCCTTATTAGTGCAGATCGAATGCTATCGATCATGTTGCAATGTGGCCACCAGTCTAGGTGACTCGACACTGCGGACACTATATATTGAGATTAGATGGTGGATGTAGTCGACAGAAAAATTTAAATAACAAGCTAGTTTTCTATTAAAAGGATAAAGCAGTCAGATTAAATCGTATATGATTTATATCTTGGTCTTCTTCTTGGGATTTATTTCATTCCTTCACGAAAACATTCATCTAAACTATACTGAATAAAATATGTCAAGCCTTTGTTCTTAATTATGTCATTCGTTATAATTTCAAGTTGTTTGTAGCTGTTAATAGATCATGTAATGCAATTAATTCATTTTATTTTTCAAGCTTTGTTGTTCTTACACTGTTTAAATCGGGTTTTATATAGTAGTCGCAAGGTTACTCTGGAAGGATTAAATGTAACCGCCTTCATAATTTGAACGAGAGTGACGTCCTTGTTTTGCATATGTGACGTTGTGTTTTTCCGAAAAATCGGTGACTAAAAAGTGTAAAGACAGACGATCTTGATTAGCAATTCACTTGTCTGAGTGTAATATGTTTTAGGACTTTGGAAAAAAACTTCAGAAGGGTTATTTTTGGTAGTGTCTGTGACGGCTTGAAATTACTGACCGATATCACATGTTATATTGCTCAAATGAAATTCCGACAGCAATTTTGTTGATCTCGCGTCTACTGTTCCATTTATAGCCTCGTGACTTAGGCTTGATCATTTAAACCTCGGATCCGCACAATTAGCTTTGTCTCGATTTGAGCTGAGGTTATATTTATCTGCTATCTGCAAGCCCTTCTTTATCTTCTATCTTCAGTCCAAAAGATTAGTCAACAGCCAGCTTATATTATTATTCTACTTCAAGCATACAAACACACTGAACCAAATTACATCATTAAAGTAGACTACGATTATATATTAACCAAATGTAGCTGTGAATACGGAAGGCTATAGGAAATACACTATATAGAAATTAGGAATAGTAAGTCATAAAACAGTAGTTAGTGGTTTACATAAAAGCTTATTATATATGGAATATATAAACATAGTAATCCATTTGCTTAGTAATTATACGATACAAATATAAATAATTCGAAAAATAGTTTCTAAAATTCCAACTTTTACATTATTCGTTCCGTTAAAACAGTATCCTATCGAAAAAAAACTACAACTAATAATGATATCGTTTAAAGATCCCCGTCATATTAAAAGACTAATATTTGAACGAAGAATATTCTTTTCGATAAATTCTCTTCATTCCTCCGTATTACCTCTTACTTATTTGATCGAATTGTAATTGCACTATTATTTCTCGCTCACCCTATTTGACCCATATTTATTCTGATCATGGATCTTAAAATTTCATTTAACATATACGCAGATTCAAGTTAACATTTTATATGAGTCATATTAACATTAACAATTTTATTGTAATTTGTTTATCACAATCCTAAATTCACATGCTCTAAACGATGTACTTTACCCTTAACTTGGCCATTTTTCGGATTAATAATTTGGATATATAACTGTAGAACCTGAAGAGAATTTATCGAAAAGAATATTCTTCGTTCAAATATTAGTCTTTTAATAATGATATTTTTAAAAGTTAACCCAACCGTGAAGTACCATTTACATAACGTTGTTATACACTGTTTTTGTTTTCGGACCTATTACACGAAAGCATACTAACCATTTGGTTAAGCTTAAAGGACTATATGTATATTTATGAAGGCCAAAAGGTTATCATGTGATTCTGATCTAACTTACTAATCTCTGATAGTAATCCAGACTAGTGTTCAAATCTATTTATCAACCTTTGTTAAATGTTTGAAAAGGTAATTAGTCCCTTTGATAAATTTCGATAATGTAATAAGAAGATGAAGACTATCAGAACTATGTGATATATTAGCGCAATACATTTCAAACAATCTGATCACACATTAACTTGTTAAGAACATATATATATAAAGATAAAAGATCAACTAGACTAGAGATGGAGAGTAAGAGAAGACAAGGATAATAATGAAATAACGTGAAAACAATTTGAAACCTCATCACTGTAGATAATAGGCTAATATTACCAGGGTATGTTTAAGGTGAGAACATACTATTTTTGAATGTACAAAGGGGTTTAATTTTAGTCTACTTGACCTTTTATTTTTATTTATAAATGTTCGTAACAAGTATACATGTGATCAGATTATTCGAAATGTATCGCGCTAAAAAAATAAAATAAAATAAGATACAAAAACCGCTGTGTGTTTAATGATATTTACGCTAATATATTACATAGTTTTGATAATCTTCATTTCTTATTACACTGTCGAAAGTCACTTTAACCAAGTTCATATTTAAACTATAGTAAACATCTTGAATAAGATTAAGATTAACTGATACTTTAAACAATAACCTTTTCTAATGTAACAGATTTACCGAAAACATCATCATCATCAACAACAACAACAATAACAAATTTGAACTATTTAACTAATCAGATTGTTTATGTCATATAAACAAATTTATTTTCAATTAGATAAAAATGATTACATGTATTGTTAGATAAAATAGTTTTACTTGGTAACATGCTGTTTGTTTGTTTGTTTGTTTGTTTTTTTGAAAATATTTATTTAAGTAATCAAGAATAAATAGTTTTAGGCGAAGATTTTCTGAAGAAAAAAACAACAAAAAAACACCATTTTTTCAAATTAATGAATCATATTCATGATAATTTGTTGTTGGGGTTGTTTTTGTTGTTGTTACCATGTCTTATCTCTTTGAATCTATTATAAATTTAATTTAATGGAGTTTTTTTCTCTGAGCTGGATGGTTTGCTCAAAATCATCCATCTGAGCTACAAATCTTCTCCATCATTATAAATTTAATTATTTACTTATTTATTTATGGTTACATTTTATATGGATTAACATGAGAAGTTCATTTATTCACAATATTGATTTCTTTAAATAATATAAATAAGGTGTTCACTAAGTGATTCTAACTATTAAATATGAAATATATATATATATATACCTTAACAATAGTATGAAGTGATTATAAAATAATCAGTAAAAGGTTTTAATTATGATTTTGTTCTTATGAGTAATTTTCTTAATAATATTGAAATGAATAATCAAGTGTACTTGGATTATACTTTGTCTTTAAACTTCTCATCTTCATTGTTTCTCACTAAAGTAAAACAAACAAATTCTTTTCAATGAATTTCTATTGTTGTTTAGGACTATAATTGATCAGTCTCTTGTTAGCATATGTGTATCTTGTGCGGATTATCTCGATATTGTCAAGTGAATTTAAATTTCATTTCATTGCACAAGCGAGTAGCTATCAGGACTCAGTAGATAAGTGGATAACACAATGACGTTTAAAGCGAACGGTACTAGGTTCGAGTCCCAGAGTGAACATGAACTCTGAGATGCAACTAACGAGTCCCAAAAAGGATAAAACGTGCATCCTGGATTCCACTGCTAGCCACTATCCATCTTTGCTTAATGACGAGCAGTGACTGAACCAAAACATTTTTTATTAATATAAGGGATTTATGGAAATTATAGAAGTTTCAATAATCATCAATCGGTTTTAGGTAGACCAAAATTGAAGGTTTGGAAGCAACTGACTGGCGTTTCCACTCATTATAGGACTACTAAGCAGTTGTCATTCATGACCCAATACTCAAGAATCTAATCAAAGATCTTCAGTCTCACACATGCGTACTTTATCTTCAGACCACTGAGCCGACATAGAGTGGTGTTAATGCCTAACTTCAACCAATTGACGATATTGTGCAACCCTCATCTATTGCCTGATGTAGATAACTGGGTCACACTCGACATGACTGTATTCCACTGGTCACGGCATCTCACTAGGACTCCAGTAGTTGCATCTTCAAGCTAATCACTGGCAAATAAATGGATATTATTCATATAGAATGACCTGTGGAGATTTTAGAATTGTCACAGTTTGAATTGCAAGTTCTGTCCTTCCCTTTAATTTCATTTTAGTGATACAATTGACCTGTAAAATCTATTGAAAGTCACTTTGTAACATTTTAATGTAGAGTATTTTTGGCAGTTGCATTTCTTGATCTCATCTACCAACCTACAACTTGTAAAAGTAATACATTTAGTTATAACTCATTTAAAATTGTTGTTACGGTAGTTCATTTGCAATTACCAATATTAAACTGGTGCCAGAAATTCTCATATCCATTGTTCTATTCTATTCCTTTCATTTGGTAGAAATAATATCAGATAAAATACGATCCATAATTAATATTCATTATAATATTCCCAATATATATAATATTTCTGTTTGTTTTACAGCTGACAATCCTTGTCAAATCAATAACGGAGGCTGTCAACATGAGTGTCATAATGTAAACGGTGTAGTTCATTGCAGTTGTCACGATGGTTACCAATTAGTCTCTCATGATGCAAAAAAATGCACCGGTAAGAGTAAGCACACGTATATTTAGATAGACTGTTATACAAAATAACTTTGTGCAATACATAAGTTGTCTTTTTTTTTCAAAAGAAAACGCTAAGCGTCGTGAACTCTTTTCATATATTATATGCTTTATACCCTGTTTATTCAATTACTGAGAGATTCAATAATGGTAAAAACCATTTCATCCTCATCTTATGCTCAATTTCCATCCTTATGCTTCATGCTAGTGCATGTATTCTGGTCGTAGAAATATAAGGATTATCCTTTGAATCACCATGTATCCTATCACCGGCGTTTATCTGTCAGTTTCACCTATTCCATTATAATGGAAGCAAAAACAGACTTCTTATGTTAATATTTTATAGATGGAGCTTGGTTGCTAAATTACTGAAGAGGTAACTAGTTAGTGAGATTTAGAAATACCTTGTGAATCCCGACATTCATATTTATAATGAGTTATTTGACGAGTATTGTAAAATTTTAATGTGATAATATTGATAGATAATCTGTACATTCAAATTTAATAAACAGCTAGATGTAAGACAATGATTTGTGAATGTTTTGTTGAGAGATGTGTATAGTTCGAAGATGTCCTCTGTCAAAAACTAATACCAACAGAAAAATCAATGGAAATTAGATTTCAAAAATGTTTAGGTGGCTCTATATTCTAAAAAGATCTCATGCTGTTCCAGAGTTTTGCCTGTGAGGTTTATTTGTGAACCATGTTCAGTAGTTCTGGATCATAACAAGAGAGCTATCCAGTACTTCGGTTTTTCATTAATTCTGTAGATGATATTAGTTCATAGAAAAAACTATCTTTAAATTTCGGAATTAAGTTCCTCAGGAATTTCAGTCATCATGTTTTGTATTAAAAGAGAATAAGAGAAAATCTACGAACTGAATTCATCATACAAGATGTGGTACATGTTTTCCAGACAGAAGAAATGTAAAATGAACTTAACAAGTAGTTCAAAGAGAGACCTTGTTCCGAACCTCTGAATAGTTTTTATTATTAGCTTACACTTATTCGATACTATTTGCATTTACCTCAAGTGTTCATCAGGTAGGAAATCAATTACCTATGATACACCAGCCGACTTTTCGAAAACTTTACATTCTGGCAATCTATGAAGAGAATATATTTACAAGTTCATTAAAGACCTAAATCTCTACAATAGTCATGTGTTCATCATCTAATATATACCTTATTTCAAATGATCTTCAAACATTTTATGCTCAAAAGCAGTCTAATTTGAAACGGGTTACCAATAATTTTCATGTTTATAACCGTGCATGAAGATAAACAAACTAATCGTAACGACAACTTATTTGTTTGGTTTGTGAGAGATTATTATTCAGAAACGATACTTATAAGATAATCGAATCTCGCCAGTTTTATTTATTTTTACATCTAAAATATATTCAGCAAAAAAGAATGACACACAGATCGAATCTTTCACAAATGTTGAAGTGCAATTTTTGAACCTAAAATGCTTTTAATTAAAAGTTAATGTTACGAGTAAGAAAAGTAGGAATAAAGTATTTTGACAGATTAGCAGAATCAATAGGACAGTTCAAAATTAATCAAATTTACCTTAAATTACACTATTTAAAATATTAAATAACAAAATGAAGTATGTATACAGGTTTCATTGATCATCTACAGAAAGATTGCTTCCAGGTTTTCAGTGGCAGTCTAACATTGATTAATTAATGATCTCAATAAAAAATTCAATAATCTCCACAACAATATACTAATAATCATCATGTGCTCGCTAGTGACTAGCTTCGAGAGGGAATTCTCGTGGTCCTAGTGAAAAGCTGTTATAAGTGGTGTTCAACAATGTTTAATATGGGGCAGTTATACACCGAAGAAAATAGGATATATTTGTGCAATGTACAATGAATAGTTTAAGCGTCTGTATATGAAATAGAAGGTCCCTGAGTTTAATTCCCACGTACGGGTCATAGATATGCGCTGCCAATAAGTCTCATACAAGGACAAACTGATCGTCCAGTGCTTCCAGGTTTTCAGTGGTGGTCTAATATTGATCTCAATTAAAGCTCAACAATTCCCACAACTCTATACTGAAAAAGATTATAATTGAATATTTCTTTAATAACATTAATGACCAGCTGATAAACGATATAAAAGGTAAAAGAAAAAGGGATTTTTAAAAACAAACTAAATAGAATAAACACTAAAATTCATTCGCTGAGATTTTACAAATATTTTCTTCTTTTTAATGTCTCAAATTAACTCGGCGCCCAAATATTGTGAAACTATTCGTTCAAATTTAGACGAAAGTTCTTATTTACTAAATACCTCATGTTTGTAATTTGTACAAATTAAAATAATGTGCTGGAAATGTACATAATCTATTAAATGGATAGATTTCACGTCCAGACTTAATTGTACCAAAAGTGAAATATCTCACTTAATGGATATAATAAGTTTAAAACCAATTCATTTTCATTGTACACTTAGTGATTTTATTTCACTGTTTCTAATAAGTTACTAACAAGGTCTATATATATGTACATCAAGACATATTATTGCCTCTAAATGAAGGAACTAGTGTAGCTAATTATATTACTGTTACTTGCTCAAAATTTGATCGATATTTTTGAAAAAAAGAAGCTTAAAAATCCGATAGTCTACGTAGAGAGTTGAAAGAGACATTTAAAATTAGTATTTCAAAAGTAAATGAACATAATTGTATTGTTATATTAGTAATCATTAACAACGTATGTATTAGTATCAGAAGAGGTTTTGTAGATATTACAGTAATTTTAATCATTGATATCATGAGTCAATTAAAGCTAGACCACCATGGGAAACCTAGAAGCACTGGACGGCCGTTTCGTTCTATTGTGGGACTCCTCAGGATTGACTAGTGGAGTTCAACCGAGTCAGTTGTGAGATACAACTCACTGAAAACAATGGTGGATGTGTCGTTCAATTTCATGGATTAGTTGAAATTAGACATTAACATCTCTGGATGCCAGCTCAGTGGTTTAAAGGTTAAGCGCTCGCGCGCGAGATTGATATTTCCTGGATTAGAATATCGTGAAGTGAGATCGTGGATTTGCACTGCAGAATATATATTGTTTGAAAATTCTTTTATTTAAATTTCTCACACTATTAACATTATCATTAAATTGTTGTGTGTAAAAATTCCACATATCGACTCATTCATTGTAAATTTTAAATTTACTCTTTATAATATTTAGTGAGCATTTATCCTTAATTTGTAATTAAAACATATTTACCGTAAACTGACTTTCATATGAATGTAAAATAGTAAAGTTTAATTAAGTTTAATTACATAGTTATCATCTATCAACAATATATGAAACATTTAAAATGAAAATTTCATTCACTTCTTTCACCTCACCGACAATACAGAAACTTTAATGAGAATGAATGACCAAGCATTGTAGTATTTTTCATTCACTTCTTTTTTCAAAAAGTAGAGTACAACATAATACATACATTCATTAGTACTAACTAATGATTTATAGTGCACATTCTGGTGTGGTATTTATTTTATTTAAATAGTGTCTATTGAAAAAACTATAGTGAATTATTAGTATATTAAATAGGTCACATTTTTATTCTATACGTTTCTATATGGTTTACTTTCATTTCATAGTTCAGTATCTGAAAAAGAAAAACATTACAAATATTGTTTTAGGTGGCGATGATGATAATGATGATACCGATTTTATCCGACAATTTTCTGTTGTTTCTTTCCCTTACATCAAGTGAATAGCTATGTGGTTTTGGCAATTAATTTGAATTTGATGAAATGATGACGATTATCATGATAATAATAATAATAATCGAGAACTACTTTGAGAAACTAGTTTGATTGCTGGTCGTTTATGAGATGGTGGAAAAGATTTGTAACTCAATGGATGATTTTGATAGGGTTTTGTTGTCTGAGCTTCAAGTGGAATTTTGCGCTGATAATATCGTTCAGAATAATCATTAAAGCTCCATGACCAAACGATCCAGCTCAAAGAACAAAACTCTATCAAAAAGCTTATCGTTTAGTTCAGTTAATAAATTGTAACAAAGATCTTAATCTGAAGTAAAAATTATGAACATAGATTAAAAATACTATAGTTATATATCATCACAGAATATCATCAGCTGTATGTTGTATGAAACTAGAATATAAATGAATTTTAAGTTCACATGAAGCATAAAACATTTTTGATACAAAACAAACATAATAAATCTGGTTAGTGTATACATAGTTAGACTATACATTAGAATAGCTGGAAAATATTGCATGTTCACATTATCCTTACCAGCTTTGTCAGAGAGCAATTGCATGACATTTTTTTAGTTTAAAGCTTACAGTCTACAAACTTTGATTATTCTAGGAAAGATTAAGAGAAAGAAATTAACAGGTTAATGAGATTTGACCTACATTGAAGTTTTAATCCTTTAAAATAGGATAAGACTGTCAGGTCCTGGGTTCGAATCCCGCGAGACAGGGTCGTGGATGCGCAATGCTGAGGAGTTCCACGATGGGACGAAACGGCCATTCAATGCTTCCAGGTTTTCCATGATGGTCCAGCTTCAATTGACTCATGATTTCAATGATTGAAATTACTAAAATTTCCACAAAATCCCTTTCTGATAAAAATCAAAATTTATTTATTATTCGAAAAAAACGAATTTCGAAGAGGAAATTCATTGACTTTTAACATTTAGTTAAAAATTTTTTCTCTTTTTTCAACATCAACAATATCAATAACATAGATAGAAAAGTTAAATATAAAACTATGGGAGAGAGGACAAAAAAATAGACAGAAACAAATCAACCGCAATTGTGAAAACATTTTCTATCACTTTTAATACTACACTTTTTTTTCTTAAAATTCCTTTATAAAGAATAGTCATAATTAAAAGAGTTCATTAAGTTGTGCATTAATATGGGTGTATGTAAGTGTATAGGTATGTATATAAGTATATGTGTATGATTCTATGTGAAAAACAGAGTGTGAGAGAGGAGGGTACAGAAGGAAATTCACTTGTCATTTCAATATCTCAACAACAAGTGTGTTTTCTTTTATCATTAATTCAATGAAGTGAAAAAAAAAATCTGATGATAATTATTCAACTGTATGATGAATAAATCTCAATGTCAAACTATTACACCCTTATCAATTATTTGTATACAGTTTTTCCACAGATTGAAATCATGAGTCAATTGAAGCTAGCCGTTCAGTGCTTCCAGATTTTACATGGTTGTCTAGCTTCAATTGACTTATGATTTCAATCTGTGAATTTTCTAAAAATCCCCACAAACCCCTTCTGATCATACAGTTTTTGTTCTAAATTTCAAAAAGAGTACGAATTTTATCTTAATTTTAAAATACATTAGTAATAATTATAATAATAATAATGTACTAATAAGAAAATAATAAAACACTACATAACTTCAGATTATTTTTTATTGATAGAAAATAGAGAGAAGAGATAAGCAAACTATTTCGTCACCATTCACATGGTATTGTTTGCTTGCATATTCCCATTGTTATTCAGACTAGAAGTGATCAGTCTCTTGTTGGCATATGTGCATCCCATGCCCATTGCCTCGATATTACCTTAAGTCGAAAGCATTAGAACAGAAAAATGGATAGTGGCTAGCAGTGCAATCCAAGATGCACATTTCGTCCTATTTAAGACTCGTCAGTTAGATATACCTGCATCTCAGAGTTGATGTTCACCCTGGGATTCGAATCCAGTACCATTCGCTTCAAAATCCACTTAGCTACTGATTCCTGATAGTCACCTGCTTGTGCATTGGGGTGAAGTTTAAATTCACTTAATGTTGTTATTTCAACAAATGTAATGAAATTCCTTTTGTCAAAACGTACTAATTTGACGAATGTGTATTATTTTTTTATAGTGTACAAATGAATTCGATTGGTAAGATATATATTTGATCTACTCTATTAGTAATTAGTTCATCTAATGACGATTATATATTGTAGTGATTATTCAAGAAAATGTTGAATACATTCTTAAATTCATTTGTACATTTTATCAAACATTTTCCAACTGATTATAATATTTATGCTGACTAAAGAGTTAATTATTCTCACCTTCCATATATTCGTCTTGAATCATAAATTTAGTTTATGATCTCATGTTCTATTTTTCAAATGTTTATTGGTCTTTTTTTCAATGCTCAGTATTATTGTATTTTGATTTACGTGAAATCAAGGAAATTAATATTAATTACTTATGAGTAGTTGAACTGTGCTATTCAAATTATAAGAATGAAATTAATTCTGATAATTTCTTTCATTTGTTTATTTGATTTTTCACAGATATTAATGAATGTAGCATAAACAATGGAGGTTGTCAGCAGCTGTGCAGAAATGTCGATGGTTCTTACAGCTGTGATTGTAATCCTGGTTGGCAAATAGGAAATGATGGGAAATCTTGTTATCGTAAGTTAATTCATAGTCGCTTTTTTTATAGTTGAATACTATATAGTTAAAGCTGTGAAAAAGTTGCATTATGAAAGGATACATTTCTGAATCAAAACATACAATAAAATTTCGACTGAATTTATAATTTTAGGAGAACATGATTTCTTCATTGAATTTATCGGCGCGTAGAACTGAGATACGGTATCTAATGAAAGTGTTATACAAAGCATATCGTTGTAAAGCCCTTCACAAATTCTACTCCTTATTTGAGCAAGAACAAAGATTTTGAAGTAAATTTCTAAAATGGATTCTTGATATCCAATTAGTGAACGTTTTACATGTTGAATTATAATCTTCTTTTGTTAAAGATCTTATGTAAGTCCTAACTTCGTTGTAACAATTACCGATTCATCAGATATAGAAAATGATGAACTTGTTATTTTTAATCAAGGTGTTTGGATAATCACGCTAATTTTTATATCACCGAATTTTGAAGCTAAAGAAAATGCAGGAATTTTCAGCTTCCAATGATCACTTTCGTTATGTTGTTTAACACAGATGTAAATATGAATATGAGTAATTTGTTTGGAAGTAACTTCATATGGTTGACTGTATTTGTAAAGCCAGGTTTTTAGTTTTCAAGTTATTTCCTCAAAGAAAGCTAGTATTTTCACTCTTCAGGTAATAAATGCGAGTGTTCTAAGTCTTTCGACTTAAATGACATCTCTTGACAACAGATTACCACATAAAAGGTAACAAGTAAGTAAGGTTTCTTACTTTAGACAGTTCGAATTCCGTTCATTCAGATGTTCAAACGGTTTTTCTTTTTAAATTGCATACTACAGTTATAGGAACACATAGTTACTTCCAAATAACACACTAACCCTTTATTGATTTTTATCACTTAGGTGTTGTCTTAGAAGTAAGCGACCCATGTCGATTTGACAATGGTGGATGTACACATATTTGTTCAAGAACAGATTCTGGAACAGCAGAATGTTCATGTAGTCCAGGCTATGACTTGCAAGCTGATGGTCGAACTTGTTCAGGTTAGTTAAAATCTTTTCTCTGGTATATTACTAAATAATTTATTGTTCCATTCAGTGTTTTATAACATATCTATAATTTCAATAGTTGAGATTATGAGTCAATTGAAGCTACATCATCATACTTCCAGGTTTTCCATGGTGGTCTAAATTAATACTTGAAGTTGTTAGATATAAACTGTTCCATCTTCTTACATAAAATTTTGTCACACATTTAGTACTAATTATCAGTTTTGAAAAGGTTAATTTTATCGAATCTTCTACCACGTGAAAGGATGAGATATCTTGTAAAATATAAAATTATCGTCTAACATTCAAATGATAACAAAGAAAACAGTATTAAAAAATAAATACTAAATTGTAGTCATTTTCACACCATCCATACAGTGAAACTTATCTTGTCTATTATAACACTACATACAAAATATCTTACTAGATTACCATAAAAATATAACATTATTAGGTATCCATTAATGCGAAGTAATAAGTTGCCATCTTTCTCTATAAAGGAGTTTTAAAAAAGATCTGAAAGATATGTTTATTTTGAAGTTAATTTAAAAAAGTTTCAAACAATTTTTTTGATTACATTTTCTCTTTGAGTGTAGAATGTTTTATACTTTAAACTTTTCTTTCAAAATGACTAGATCGTGATGAATGTGTAATTGGTGAAGCTAAGTGTTACGGTCAAGCTGTGATTTGCATTAACGAACCAGGAACGTACCGTTGTGAATGTCAAACAGGATTTCGTATCAGCCCAGATGGACATTCATGTCAAGGTAAATAATTGTTACTTGTTTAATACTAATACGTTAATTACATCGTCAATGAGTGAGATAACTGATATTAAATAATTTCGAAGCCGATGCTGATAGAGTTCAAACATGTTCAAAGCTAGACATATATCACTGATTATAATTGACGACAGGTTTAGAATATCGCTAACTGACCGACTTAGAAATTATAGATCAACTAATTCTGTCTCATCGGCTTAAATGTAGCATATGAATCATATGGCTAGAAGGACCTAAATCTGATTACTGGCAAAGTTATGAACAGACCCCATTCGAAAATTCCAAACTAGAATGAAGCAAACATCTTTATACACAAGCGACCAATCTAGAATTTTAAAAAAGTATTTACACAATTCTGAGTGTTAATATTTCTGTAAACGATTTCAATTTACTTCTAAGATTACTTCTAAAATGCTTGTGATTTAATGGCAACATAGCGGCAGTCTGTACATAATGCGCATAAACCAGAAGAAATCGATCAATAGCAGTCCTTAAAGTAAACATTGGAAAGATCCATCCCTTTTTACCATGTTTTAATGACTAGTTTAAAGAAAGTTTGTTTCAACAGTTTTAATCCATACTTAAGTTAGTTAAAATTAAAATTGATTTTTAGATATTGATGAATGTCTGGATGACAATGGTGGATGCGAATTTCAATGTGTGAATACAATAGGTAGTCATAGGTGTTTGTGTGATTTTGGTGATGAATTAAACCCAGATGGAAGAACATGCTCACGTAAGTGAAGAACATTTTTACTACTTTTAGTAACTAACTCTATATTTTATAATATATGAAGAATAATTGGAAATCAAAGCTGATGTCCACTTATCACACAGTAATATACTGTGTTCAATCAAACTAAAAAGAATAAAGTTCTAGACAGGAAAACATTGACAATATTTGTAGAATAAAATGCAGTTATTTAAACTTCAAGGCTACTCAGTAGATATAGAATACCTAGTTACAATGAATTGTAGAATGAGACAAAAATATATATATATTCTGGTAAATAAAACTGAATTCTGGTTAGCAATATTTTTTAGCAAGGCTGGTTTCAACGAGTAGGAGTTGCTTATCCCATGCTCAACCCTGCTTTTCTACCCGGGCTTAGGACTGGCAGTAAACTTAGAAGAGCTCAAGGCGGCCTACGCTCCTCCGCGAGGGGTAATAGGAGTAAGTAAGTAAGTAAGTAAGTAAGTAAGTAAGTAAGTAAGTAAGTAAGTAAGTAAGTAAGTAAGTAAGTAAGTAAGTAAGTAAGTAAGTAAGTAAGTAAGTAAGTAAGTAAGTAAGTAAGTAAGTAAGTAAGTAAGTAAGTAAGTAAGTAAGTAAGTAAGTAAGTAAGTAAATGAAATTGAAACGAAAGTAGATGAAGATTGAGACAGTGACTTAGAAGAAAAAGACATGCAAAAATGTGGCTATATGCTCTGTACTTGAAAATGTTAGATATTTTTACGAGAACAACTGATGTGTTTTAGTTTTCACAAAGGATAATTTTATATTGAAAATCTAACCTTACAAAGTAAGGGTGTTAGAATCACAATTGATAAAAATGCTAATAAAAAATTAATGGTTACATATATGAACAAAAATAATTTTGAAAAATAAACATTAAATCAGTGAAAGTCATGAAGTTAACGTAAAACCGAAATATAATTGTCAAAACACAAAGCAGCTTCAATCACACGTTTCACTTTTGAATGCATAAAGATGACCTTTATACGTTACGATTTCACAGAAAATATAAAACATTTATTCAGCCGACGTCAAATAAGACCCTAACATACATGTAATAGGCTTAATAAATTACGGGAATAGCTCTATGTTCCAATGTTCCGATCAATACAAAAGGTAGGCAACTATCCTGTACTTGGGTCACTTTTGAAGGCTCCATACCTTAAGTGTGATCCCTTGGGGAAAAAACTTCTCTCTCCAATGTTTCATTTCCACAAACTGCCTTTAGGATTGCTCCAATTTCTTATGAACTTTTCCTATGCTTCTGTAAAAAATTTGTGTAGCTTAGTTGATGAACTTATTAGAAAAGCTGAATATAAGTACACTATTACCTGAATAGTTATACTAATTAATGCTAATTTTATTTGTGATATTTCTAACAATAAATATATTACTCATTACAGTGTCTAATGAAATTATTACATATATTAGACTTTATTCATTCATTTAACAAGTTAAATCTTTACAGAGAAATATTTTCATATCGACCTAAATGATTAAAGCAACAGAAGTATTAGAACATTTGGGAAGATATCTGGATATTTTCATGATTTTTTTCCTATATTTATTCTATTATTTCTTTATTTTCTTCATTCTAGGTTCATCCAGTTATGTACGAGATGATTCTAGTACGTTATTCACCCGACTAAACAAAATCGTAAACAGTTGAATATGAAACCAACACAACGAGTTGTAATAGGTGATGTTCATCAGTTTTCGAAAATACGGACATCATTTGATTCAAGTTAGTTATAAAATAAAATAACTGTTATTGTTTTTGTCCAATATATCTAGAAATCTTGCTTGAGGAGCTATTTATACATACCCATATATTTGTAATGATGGTATTAGTTGTTCTCCAAGTTTCAGCTCCGCATAATAGAACTATCTTGACGTTCGTATTGGAGATTCTGACCTTGATATTGGTTGATAGTTGTTCTGAGTTCCATACGTTCTTCAACTGTAGAAATGCCACTCTTCCTTTCCCAATCCTTGACTTTACGTTTGCATCCGATCCTCCTTGTTAATCTATGATGCTGTCCAAGTACGCGAAGTTTCCACATCTTCCAGAGTTTCCCCATCAATTGTGACTGGGTTGGCGTTCTGTGTGTTGTATTTAAGGATCTTACTTTTTCCCTGTGTATGTTGAGACCTTCTAATGCAGAGGCTGCTGCTACACTGGCTGTCTTCATCTGCATTTGGTGGTGTAAATGTGGTAAATGAGCTAGGCAATCTGTGAAATTCAAATCGTCTAGTTGCATCCAAGCTGTCCATTGAATTCTGTGCTCCCCCTGAAATATGCAGGTCTTCATAATCCGGTCAACCACTGGAAGAAAGAGAAAGGGAGAGAGAGATTACGCAGTCTTGTTTGCCACCGGTTCTTACTTGGAACGCATCTGTCAGGCGCCCTTCACGAACTTCACAATGCAGTCCATCGTAAGAATCCTGTACGACGTTGACTATCTTATCAGGTACACCATTGTGTCGAAAAAGGTTCCACATGATTCTCCTATCTACACTTTCGAATGACGTCTTATAGTCAAGGAAGTTGGTGTTGGTGACGAGTTCTGTTCATTCGATTATTCAATAATGATCCATAGTGTCGCGATTTGGTCTATAACAGACCGATCCTTATGGAATCTGACCGGTTGACCTCGAATTTCGGTGTCTACTGAATCCTTAATAGAATTCAATAACACTGTTTAAAACTTTTGATGGTACCGATAGTTGTGTGATGCCTTTTTAGTTCTCACATTTGCTCAAAACTACTTTCTTTGGTATTTCGATGACGTAGACTTCTTTCCAGTCTGCTTGTGGCACTTGCTCTTCCTCAAAATAGAACGTCGAGCGTGTTTGCGGTTATTTCTATGTGTGATTTCGGTGCTTCAGTTGGTATGTTGTCAGGTGCAGCTGCTTTCCCACTCTTGATTTGTCTGATGACCATGCTAATTTCTTCGATCATTGGTGGAGTGACAGCTATAGGAAGGTCTGAAGGGGCTGGTCCGATGTCCGGTGGATTCAGTGGGGTTGTCCATTCAAAGGTCCTTCAGAATGTTCTACCCACCTATTCCGCTGTTCCTGAGTCTCAGTAAGTGGCTTGCTCTCCTTGTTCTTAGCCAGTCACTCTGGTTTACCATATTTCCCTACCACTTTCCTCGTCTTATCATAAAGTTGTAGCATATTTCCTTCTGTTTCAGTTTTTTTCCTCTCAAACACCGAAGGCACTGAGAAACTGATTAATTCTAGCCTGAAACTCCCTAGCAGCCTCCAATGACATTGACAGCTAGTCAGTTAAGAAGTATACTAATATGCTATTTGCAAACAAATTGTTTATCAATCAGGTATCATTGGAAGTCACATAAAAGCAGTATTTTCTAACAATACTAACTAATTTTTATATACATGACTTGTCAAACTTCACAGATTAAAAGCATTACTGCTTTCATTGTTCTGAGCTATTTCTTAATAAATTAAAACATTTACATCTTTAGCTACCAATAATAGTTATGTATTGAATAAAAAGCGGTTACATCATTTAGAAAAGTAATTAAAAATCATCAACTTTAATAACATTGTAATAAAACCCTTCCATTTATAAATTAGTATACACAATACTTGAAATCTCGATTGGATTATGCAACACCACTTCATTTTCACTAACTTCCACTTGAATGAGTTTGACTATCTTTGATAATTTCGCAAAAAAAACTTTTTATTATAGACTACTACATATAAAAAGTACTTTTAAATACGGGTGTATGATTTCAGAAACTGACATCCTGGGAAGAGAAATTTTCTTTACCGAAACATCTTCATTCTTTTAGTATATATATATGCAAAACTGTACGGTATTACTGATTTATCTGATTTCGGTTGAATGAACGTTTACTTACAGTTTTTAATCTCGACTTATCTTGTTTTTTCCTTTGAATTCCACTATTTCTCACAACAATATGTCAGAAATGATTTTGAGCATTACTTATTTTAACATAACATAATCACACCAGATTGGATAATCAAAATGTAGGATTCTGAAACTAGGCTTTCGCATGGAATTAAATTATATGATGCTTTACATCACACAAGCTAATTTCGAATCAACTGAAAGCTATTATAATCGTATACACAATTTTAAGATTAGAACAATAATATATTTATAAACAAAAATAGATAGTGGCTAGCAGTAGGATCCAGGATGCGCGTTTCGTCTTATTCGAGATTCGTCAGTTGGATGTGACTGCATCCCAGAGTTGATGTTCACTCTGGGACTCGAACCAAGTGCCGTTCGCTGCAAACGCTATCGTGTTATCTACTCAGCTACTGAAACCTGATAGCCACCTGCTTATGTAAAAAGTAGTGGGTATCTTTTCACCAACAATTCTATTACGTCTACATTTTTGTTATTTGATAGTTCTTCCAACTATTTTATGTGTAATATACAGTTGCAACGAGATTTGACTGTCAAGTAAATCTCCTAACTCAAAACTTTTAATGAATGCGTATTCTTGTAACCACATAATTCTTATACTTAACACTTATAATTAACCGTCATACACTGATTATCTAGACCCTTATTCTAAAAGGAATTTCATACACAGAATGATTTTGAAAAGAAGCTAAAATTATGTAAACACGAATTTTAACTATAAACCAGTCAGTTAAGTAATAATGTCGTGAACAAGACCAGTAGTGGGAACTGCAAAATATGTTTGAATACAAAATTATAGAACGTCTTAGTAAAATCTGAGATGCATACAGTAAATACTTCCTTTGCAAAATGTCAATCAATTGTCTCAGACTTGATTGTTCCTTCGGTTTCACACCAATCACTCTCTGTTCTCGTTCTATTCTTTTTGAACCTCTTAAACTTCCGCCGCCGGGTATTCCACTTTCCATTGGTAATATACACTACTTATATCTGCCGTCATCAGTAGCACACACCACAATAATATCATTGATAAACGTGTGAATTGGAAATATGTTTTGGCTAAAAATCTCTATAATTACAGAGATAAAAAAAGGAGTACTTGTCGTTACATTGTTAGTTTTTTGATCGAAAAAACTGTGAGACAAGAAACCAGATTTAATTTTACATTTGAAATCATTTCATACAAATGAAATATATGAATATCAGTTTCCTTGTAATGCATTAACTTTTCAACCAAATCTAATATCAAACAAAATAATTAGTTACTAAACGATTATTCATTAGAATATCTGAGATAATCAATATTATTAGAAGCAACACGTTTATGATGAATAAAGGAAATTGAAAATTCAACTATCAGACAGGCTTCCTTATTGAATTGGTAATCGGAAAGTCACCGGTTCAAATATTCGGTTATTGAGCTACCTATAGAATTAGTGCTTTTTCTCAATAAAGCCAGTATGGTCTATAAGCTTGATGCATTTTAAAAACCTTATCAATTAAATTTTTCGTTTCCTAACGAGAATAACGTCATCTGATCTTCTATTTATTTCAGTTGTCACCTAATATGTTCCGTAAATCATAGCTACCAGTAACAAACACATGATTGATTATTGTAGAAAGAAGTGTGTATTTGAGAATTCTTTTCAAAGACAACTCTTCTCTCAATCACTTTTTTTCGCTTAATGTATCAATAAGTGCTTTTCAATTCACCTATAATCTGTTTGACAAGATTTAGATGAGTGTTTTCAAACAATCATCGAATGTTCCTTAAAAACTTATGTAAGTTTACATAAAGTGAGAAGAACAATACATGCAGGATAAAAATGGATTCACTCTATTTCAAAGCTTCTTATTAGCCGGCTAAGTTTTCATGAGTGATACAATTACGTTTTACTACATACCATAATCAGTTAAGCTTAGTATTAAATGATATAGGAAACAAGAGAGAACCATATGCTTGACATATTAGTTAACATTGATTCGTAATTCTGTGTTAAAATCATAAAAAAGAGAAGGGGATAAAACTGTAAATGATAGTAAATAGACAATGACAAAAAACAAACTATTAACAAGTGAATGATAATCAAGGCATCTATTTAAAAGAAAATTAAAGATGACGTCGTGAGTGAATGTCTGTGGGAATTTATACTTTAAGTTTTAAACAATAATAGAGATAATTTACTGACAATCGTTACAATATAACTATCTAATCATGCCGACGAGAGGTTTACCACACTTACTTTCTGTATACAATGGTCAGATCAAAAGCGCTTTATGGCAGTGGTCTCTGCAAAACGGAGTAAAAGAGATGTACGCTTTCAATTTAATTATTTTAAACTCTTTTGGTGTTCACCCTTGTGAATATTTTACTTCCATAAAGACATAACTTACAGGGGATAAGTTCATAACATCTTGTAAATATCCTTCTTTTAGTCCTTCCCGTGTACTTCCTTTCACAAGCACATGTAAATTTGTACATGTATTTAAGGATGATACTAGAAGGGTACTGAGTTACTTTTGTTTGATTTAAAGAATATCTGGTTTTATACATCGAAAATAGTTGGGCTGCAAGAAAACTTCTGTTTGGCGCTGCCTTAATCGATTTTTCGATCCTGCTTGAAACTTCCTCATCTTTAAATTCGAGACAGAAACAGACAGATTTTCTGTTAAAAGTTGAATGCTTGAGACCTTCCTTAATCAGTTTTTTTATGTCATAGTAAATTTCTTTGTATATTCAGTCTCTGTAAGAGACTATTCAATGTATTCTACTTCTTCCTGTGGCTTTTCAATCGAACGCAACTTTTTAGACCTATTAAATAAGGTTTTGACCAAACAATGGTTGTAACTAACAGTACAGAAACCATTATAATTTAAGTATTGTCTTGTCCACGTTTCTTTTCTGAATATGATATTCCTGTTCCTTCGTTTTATCCTTAGGTCTAAGTAATTAAACTGATTATGTTTATATTTCATAGTGAATATAATGTTAACATATGCTTCATCAAACCGGTAAACCAACTTTGAGCTTAAACTCAGATTATTACAAAACACAAGTGTATGATCAACATACATACTGTATAATGCTGCGTTTTCAATTTCTTGCTTAAGTTTCATTTGTCTAAGATTAGCCATAGAGATGTTGGCCGACATAGACACTATGGATGATCTCATGGATATCGTATCGATTTGTCTGTATAACTGGTTATAGAATTTAAATTGAATCCCTTTAATGTATGCTAATAGTAATGTTCTGAACTCATTTTGAGGAAAAGAACCTAATTCAAAATACTGATACATATTATTGATAATTTCTTCCATAAGGATATTTGTAAATAATGAACAAGCATTATAAATTTATCTGATATATCCATATAATCTATTTCTTTAGTAAATCAAAAAGTGTCTTTTAAAGTATTAGTTGCCATGTTACTGAGATCTGGTTCCAATAACTTGTATAAGTGATTAACACACTGTATAGCTGTTATAATGATGAAATAGAATTTATTCAGTAAATTCATATCAGAAGGGTTTTGTGGATATCATAGTAATTTTAATGGTAAAGATCACGAGTCAATTGGATCTAGATCACCGTGGAAAACCTGGAAACACTGGACAGCCGTTTCGTCCTACCGTGGGACTCCTCAGCAGTGCTCGTCCGCGACCTCGCCTCTCGAGACTCGAACCCAGGACCTATCAGTCTCGTGCGCGAATGCTTAACCACTAAACCACTGAGCCGACATCCAACGGTTTTAATGTCTAACTTCAACCAATTCACGAAAATGAGCGACACATTCACCATTGTCATCAGTGAGTTATTATCTCACAACTAACCCGGTTGAACTCCACTGGTCACTGCTTCCCACTAGAACTCGACGAATAACCTCTTGAATCCAGTCACTAGTGAGCATATGTTGATTTATATTAGAAGGGTTTTGTGGATATATAAATATACATTTTAAATCATAAAAAAGGAACACTTAAGAATAATTAAATTAAGATTTTTTTTAGTCATTCACTAATTATCTTAAAATGTCAACATGTCACTTTATTTTTGTACACTTTGTGTTTCTTTTCTTGTTCAGTGATGCAACAAGATGATTCGTCTATTTATCAAAATAATTTGTATATTGGTTTGTTTTTATTGTTTTGTTTGTTCTTTCTGTAGTTCATAGAAATTTTGCATGTCATATATTCAGATAATTGAAATGATTGTTGTTTAGATTATTTTGAGAATTAATTCTATCTTAATTACCTATTTAAGAGTATCAATATCATAAGAATTGGATTCCTAGTCCAACTGTTATTATTCATGATAGTAGATTTGAAGTATACAAATCTAATCTTGAATAATATAAATGAATTAGGATTCAAAGAAGTTTATTATTACTTACTATTAACTGATCTTAAGTTTTAATTCAGTTAGTATTAATTCTCAACCTTGATTTCTATATATGTGTTCAATTACAATAACTTAATGTTGTCTGTTACAGTAATATCTAGTCTTGTAGAAGTGTTGTCTTAAAAACGGTACATAACTAGAACATTGATAAAATTAATTAATTTTTTTCTCTCCAATATTACACTCTAATCATAGGAGGTAATTTATGTTTACCTGGACGATTTGGACATGATTGTAGTTTAACATGTTCACATTGTGAAAATGGTGGTCGATGTAATCGAGATTTAACTGGATGTGAATGCCCATCTGGTTATAAAGGAATTATCTGTGAAGAAAAATGTCCAAAGGTAAAAGAAATAATTTAAACGTATACAATTATAAAATTTATTTATTATATAATATACTCTTTACCATTATAACATTAGACAGTTAAATTCACTTGGTGTTGTTTTACTTGTATCTTTAAGTCCCAGAGTGAACATCAACTCTGAGATTCAGGTACATCCAGCTGATGAGTCCCAAAAAGGACGAAACATGCGTTCTGGATTCCACTGCTTGCAACTGTCCATCTTTGATTAGACAGTTAATTTTTAAGTGCCTCTTACTGAGTAGAATTATTCGTTTAGTTAGAGTTGATCTAAGTTATAAGTTCGCATTCAGATTGATCACTGTGGAAATTTTTATATAAATTAGGGCTAATTGTTTGATGTATTCTTGTCGTTAGCTTAAAGAACCTTTTTCATTAAGTCTCGTACTTTCTAATGAACAATGTTTTCTTGTCTAAATATGGAAAGACATATTGAATAGAAATAGTTAATAATGTTGAGTATAAATTGGCCAACATTTTAGTCGCACCGTAACTAAAACATCAGTGTTGGAATAACATTTAGTCAAGATTTCTGAAATTTGTTAGCCAACAGAGTAATGAATTCTAGAAAACGTTACTTTTTCTATTGCTACAAGTTGGTATAAATTAAATTACTATTAAAACCAATAACTGTGTCAGGTTTTATTCTGACGATTTTAGCGCTATACATTATAACGGTGAAGATACGTTGATGACAGTATTAGTAATACAACATGAAATATGATATGATTAAATGTGTTTAATGTTTAAAAGAGTAGTAATATAATCCACTTACTGTTCGTAAATGTAAATGGTACATAGCTTGTTGCATCTAGGTGTGGCTTAAAAAGACTCTATGTAAGTATTTTTGAGGACTTCAACGAAAGAATGGCAAGTTATCCAGTATTATTTCGTAATGCATGTAACTGTTAAATGGTGTTTATTTCATCAAGTTTATTCTCAAACTAAATGCTCAAATTTTCACTGGGAAAAACAGAAAAATTACAAGCTGTTACTTAAGTTGTTTTACTACTTAGTCTAAATACTTTCTATCACTTCTTAATCACTTTTTTCATTATAGGGACTATGGGGTGTGGACTGCAGACAGTACTGTGACTGTGCAAATGACGTTGACTGTGATTCCGTAACTGGGGTTTGTCAATGTCCTTTAGGTCGTCATGGTACAAGATGTGAACTATCTGGATGCCAATCAGGATTTTGGGGACCTCAGTGTGATCGTCTATGCCCAAATCATTGTGCAACAAATCAATGTGATCGTGAAAAAGGCCATTGTACATGCTCACCAGGAATGTATGGGTCGCATTGTCACTTAAGTTGTCCGGAAAATACATGGGGCGAATTGTGTAGTCTAAAATGTCCAGCTGAATGTTCAGAAAGTAGACGACATACAAAGGGTTGTGATCCTCAGGTATGATGACTAGGAATAAAAATAGAAAACGTTTTGGTAGATTAAGTAAGAGACTATTTTAAAACTGTATGCTTATTGTTCGCGTCCATAGGAATCAATTAGAATAGCCACTCCCAGTTCAAGCATAATATTAGCACAGTTCCAGAAAAGTTGGCGTTTATTTACAATATTATTATGCTGCAAACCACTCCTTATGAGATAAAGATGAAACCAAGTATGTGCAACTGGTTGTATATGAATATGACTACAAACGTTATTTTGGATATCTATCACAGCGTTAGGTCGTTGAAATGAAATCATGAAATACTGTTAAATCAAATAGACTCCGTTGTTGATTCAAATGTTTCATGTACTTTTCCAATCTCCAAAGTCTTTGTAAAATTAGTCTATAATTCTGACATAGCTTTTCAATTCATTTCACATCTTCAATTTGTTGCTACCTTACTTTAAGAATGCCGTTTTCAAGGATTTCACCAACCGTTCGATGATTCGTTTCGTGTCAGTTAAATTAAAAGCTTTCTACAAAGTTCTCTGTTACAAATATCTAGACGTTCGAGTTGCTTAAACTGATTCCTAGATGGATAATCTGGTTTGACTAAATAACACTTGGAAGTAGTCAATTTTAATATTTTTAGTAAACAAGTAACCTTTTATAGATCAAATTTGAAGTCATTATGTCTTCCATTTGCATAAACAATTCCATAGAATCATGTATCTCTTACTGTTATAATTGTCATGTTTTAGTGGCCCAGGATCTGACTCCTATAATATCGTATGAATGATTGTTGTCAAAATGTACATCCTGGCTATCCTCGTATATAATCATCAACTTAAATCGCGTTAGTGAATAACGGAATTAAATAAATCAAATACGAGAATGGATCTTGAATATGTATATTTCATGTACTAATTGATTTGAACAGGCAATCGAGGAATGAAGAGAGGCGAAATGACGTGCAGCGGAGATGGCATGTGAGCCAACTTTATTTAGTCAAGCGTTAATCAATATTTATAGTCACTCGAAAATAAGCTACAGATATGTCGTTAGTAGGATAAGAAGTGTACACATACGCTTACATAAAAACGGTCAAGTGAATAATTAAGGTCAAAATGTGACTCAAGTAGAATGAATAGATCAGCCTGTCCGAAAGCTAGAATAAGATATATGGGCTTAACATGATAACCGATACTACAATGTGTTGAGTATCAGAAGTAAAGAGAAAATTTAGTATTTTGAACTGTCATTTGTGTGCTTAAATCACAACAACTAAGAAGTAGGATTGACAATGCATGTAAATAAGCTTTAACTGTTTCTTGTGCATAAAGTAATTTAACCATTTTATTCTAAAATAATTCTCATCCATAACACATTTAATAATTACTTTTCTTATTTAGACCGGTGAGTGTATATGTAAGCCTGGCTATCAACCGCCTGACTGTATTCTACCATGCCCGTCGTCATATTTTGGTTTCAACTGTAAAATGACATGCTTTGATTGTCAAAACGGTTGTGATCCAGTGACTGGACGATGTCTAGTTGAATGTCCACCTGGTAAACATGGATTAACGTGTGAACAAGGTAGACAACATTATAAGTAAACCTAGAATATTCAATCTGTATTTGTCTGAATAGAAATAATCTGTGGAATTATTCCCACTTTATTAAGATAATCATTCAAAAAATGTAACGATCTGTCTGTTAGTTTAAAATACTCTCTCAATTATATCATGTCATTCTGTTAACATTTTGGTGTGAAAATCATCCTAGAACATTCACAAGTCACATATTATCTACAAACATCCTAGACTAGATTTTATTTTACTCTGAATTGGTGAATGGATATAATTATGTAGCAAGAATATTACCGATATAAGATCTAACCGATTATCACAATGGCGGTTTGTAATCTTAGTTGGTAAAAAACTGGAATATTTATCTATTCAATGAAGCAGATCAGGATCATGAAGCGTAACAATGATATCTATTAAGTTTACAGTTTTCTAAATATTTTATAAAAAGAACCACTCAGACTAATTCATACTTGTGATATACACCATTACCGGGATATATTCCAATATATATGATGAGATGCTCATTATTATTACGTGCTGTACTAAGTAACACGTCAGAGATGTAGATTTATTGTAATTTTCATTTCATTAGTACTATTGAGTTTACCCTTTCAACGAGCGTACACTATAACAAAAGAGGACTAAAGAAAATTTGATCTATATGAAGTACTACGAGACGCACTTCCGTCTTCTCCGACCAGATTCTGTAAATCTGACTCCCTTCATCTTTGCCTGCACAAACATCAATTAGCGGTCAAATGCCATGATATATCCTCACTTATATCAATAAATGTAGACAACTGTGGACACACATTCGACTAGGAAAATGTTGAGATCTTGGATAGAGGCAATTCTAAAAACACCAGGGAATTTTTAGGAGCTTGGCACTCAGGTCAATCAGTAATCAACAAACACATTGAAATCGATCCAATTTATAGACCAGTCAGAAAAATTATGGGCAAATATAGGACCAAGAATCAAATCAGTTGGAGGTAAAATCAAATAAAGAAGTAAACAATAACAGGTTAAAGGTTGACATTACCCATTCAAGATCGAAGTCTACAGGACAAGCTAAGAGTCAAATGTGGAGAAATTTGAATACTTCACTTCTACTTGAGATTTGTGCTGATGATTTCGTTCAGAATAACGATGAAAGCTTCACGACCAAACCATCCAGCTGAGAGAACAAAACTCCACCGAAACCTTTTTAACTATCACTGGCATTATTACTACTACCTCCGATATTTTGGGATTCACTTCATCAAAATATGGTAAATTGGTAAAGTAAGATGGGCAGTTCCATATCTGTGCCAGACCCTAAGTGGCCTAAAACTAAGTTTGTTTTATAGGCATTTTAAAAATTTACAACTGTAATCGTTTTCATAACTATTGAACATTTAATGTCTGCCATGAACACTGAAATCACTTCAACTACTTGTTTCAGTTTTATTGACTTTAAGATTTAATTAACTAGTTTTATAATCAGTAAGTTTTCGTTGTAAAGTAAGAAACCTTTCGTTAATTGTTTCATTAGTGGATGTTTACAATTAACTTCACTTTAATAGGTTGTTAATATATATTTAGAGTTCGAATTTCATCTTACATCGAACTAACTTTGTGGCTACGGTCGGCCGAAAGAAGCCATAGTAACAAATTATTTATAACCATTACTCAGTAATATAATATATAAAAAATCATATTACTCTATTTTATTGGGTACATCACGAACTGAAGTTAGTTAACTCACCAACTCAGGTTAGCCGCCATTGTAAACTACGAAATTCAACAATCTCTCTATACCTCTATACTGACAGTAACCTTATGTTCGCTAGTGACTTATTTTGAGAAGCAAACTTAAAGATTTAATGAGAAGCCGTGGAGTTCAGTAATACCGAACTTGAAGCAGTTGCTCACAAATAGTTTCTAAAGATTGCTATGCAGTATCAGAAACTAACTGGGTCTAAATATGTATAACATTGGACCCCAGACCAGTGGCCTAGAGGTTAGACGCTCTTTGAGTTAGTTGAAGTTTTCTGATTCAAACCCTCACTGTCGAGAAGCCCCACACTAAAGCTATCCAGTGCATTCTGGTTTTCAGTGATCTTCAAACTAAGGTTATTCGTGATGTAAACTATGAATTTTTACCATGTCCATAAATCCTTGTACTAACATTATGGAATTACGTGTTATTTATTGATAAAGTCGTAGTTTAATCCAACCGGTCAAATTTGTTTTCTAGTGTAAATCAAATTTTTTTCTCTATTTTAGACTGTCCCCCGGGGTATTGGGGCAAAAAATGCTCTCGACATTGTCGATGTGGTTATGACGAAAAAGGGAATCTCCGGACATGTGATCCAACAAGTGGTACATGCTCATGTAAAGCAGGTTATCGAGGAAAGAACTGTGATGAACGTAAGTGTAATGGAATAATCGCTTTTAAAGATCATAATTTTTCGGCTTCATTTTCTCTTTTTCTGCAATAAAAGTCTCAGTACAGAGCATCAATGACACAAAAAAAAACAAAAGATTAAGAAAATTAAATGGAGCCTCTAAAGTAAATAATATTGCTATTAAATATTGATGCTACTAATGATTAGATTAATTCGTTTAGTTTAATAACTAGCAAATTAATGCGGTTTGTGCTGATGATGTCGTTCAGAAAAACGATGAAAGCCCCACGACCAAAATATCCAGCTCAGAGAACAAAACTCTATCAAACGCATCCACCTAAGCTACAAATCTTCTCCACCATATAGCGAATTAGTGGTTACCTTAGAAGAAATCATAATACTAAGCAAAAACTAACCCATAAACTTAGTGACATATAAAATGATGTAATACAAAGTTTAAATCAAAAATGTAAACCATTGCTTATTATCACATTAAAAGTAAATCACATCCATAAAGATCGCACTAAACAAGATTATAGAGTGATATAAAAGTTCCTTATAACTTCTTATCTAACAATAATGTTTAGGTTGGCCAACGAATGATTCTCAGTCTTGATACAATTTTATCGGTCAGTTAGTGTGCTAGTATAACACGCATAATATAGTGTTAATGTCTAACTTCAGTCAACCGGCAGCATTGCGCGACCATCTTCGATTGTCTTCGAAGAGTAACTTCCTCACACACAACAGAATTTAACTCCATTGGAGTTAAACTGTGTTGGGTCTGAGGCAGTTACCCATCGAAGACAATGGAAGATAGTCGCTTAATGTTGTCAATTAGGAGGAGTTAGACATTTACACCGTTGGATCCTGGCTCAGCAACCTAGAGATTAAGCGTTCACACGCGAGATTGAAGGATTTCGGTTTGATTTTCATGTGCGAGGCTATAAAAGCCCACCGTTGAGGAGTCCCATGGTACGACGAAACGACCGTTCACTCCTTCCAGGTTTTCAGTGATGGTATAACATTAATCGGTTCATAATTTCAACGAAATTCAACAATTTCCACAACATAGTGTATAAAATGGTTAAATCCCCATATGGTCCAAGAATAAGAGACTTTAACTAGCCGTTATAATTTACACCTTATATTAGGTTCATACAGCAATATCTAGAACGATTAGAAATCATTGGCTGCTGCAACAGAATTCAAATTTAAATAATAAAATTAGTTTAAAATGATATCAAAAGTTAAACAAGTGTGGTTCAAGAAGGTTGCTGCACTAAGAGTTTTCCCAAAGTGGCGAGTATCAATGTTTACAGGACAGTATGATGTGTCTAAAAGTGTTGGTTTAAACTGTATGCTTATCCACACAAATTCGATTTGCTCCCATAATCTTTACTACTTGTTTAGCGCATCCTCCTCCCTACTTGTACTTCTGTTTTACATATCAATGTTTGTAATCAGATGATGTTACTAAACGAAACTATGGACATTCCGCTGTACAATTTATAAAACTGAATCTCTGTGGCATGTGTCTAGTAGTTCTCCCGATCCATATCTTCAAAATAATTCTGTATTCTCTACGTAGAATGATAACTTCATTAAACTATTAAATTCTGTTGCGATATTTGCTACAGCTAAGAAAACTAAAGCTACTAATTAGTGGATCTCCAAAGCAAAATCCTCATATGCCATATAATATTGTTAAAGTTTTGCTGATTGATATGTTCTTCACCCCATATATCGATTCAGATACGATAAGCCTTTTGTACTACATTTGAATTACTTGTAGAAGTACCAATATTTCTAAATCTTCGTAATCAGTCATGATGGTTGTTGAATTTAAAGTCACAGCTTGCTTTCTCAGTTCGTTGAACATGAACAAATATGTACTTGTACATTCATCGTTCATTAAAATGTAAACCACTTGAATAATCGTACTGAATTTCATAGCATGGATTGTGTAGATCTGTTAAACATTTTTTTCTAACAATTTAACGTAATTCGGTTTACAATTCTTTGTAGCCTGTGAAATTGGTACTTACGGTCCAAATTGTCAATTGAAATGTCAATGTGGGATAAGTAATATGGGATGTGATCCGGTTACTGGTTTGTGTCAATGTCCGAATGGAATTGTAGGACATAAATGTAGTATGCGTAAGTGGTACATAATTAATAAAGTCACTAATAATCCAATAATCTCTAGTTATTTTATCAGACATTTATTAGCATTATGGGATCTAATGTATCACGATGTTTGAACAGTGACGTCACAGTATACTCTTAGGTGTCTTTTATGAAACTGTTCAAAGCAAATCGCTTCAACTTTTGTAAACTGTAGTGCTCAACTTTTCGATTCATTGCCTAATATATGCTTTCTAACACTTGCCTAGCCAGCTTAACAGAGTAGAGGACTGAGAGTGTATCGGAAGCTTTATTTTTTAGGTTGAATTAATACGTACATACGTGTGTTGGGTTAAATCATATGACTGTGAACTATTCAACTGTATTGAGAGGAGAGAAATTAGAATCTAGTTCAAGTGAATTATCATTTTATTTTTTGAGTATACACAAATAATACTGGAGTGATTCAAAAATATGTGGGCTGTGACTGTAATCAGGTTAATATTCCACTCACTCATAATAATTCTGCTCACGCTTAACTTATCACTTATTCTTAATCATTGACGGAGTAAATGATCTGTCTGGATTTATCTGGCTTATCAGAAATCATTTCACTACTCTCTGAGTATACTTGGTGAGGATTGAAGTGTTTATATTAGCAACTAATCTGTATTCAATTTCTTTACTATCACTATTTAATAAATCAACATTCCTATTGTATTTTAAACATGGTCTTGTCTAAACAACATTGTTTTACAATTTACCATTATTCAATTTGGCTTCAGCTAACGTACAAGATTTGAGCACATAAGCATATTCTCTTAAAATCATTAATCTCGAAACATTACAAAAATCAATCAGAGTCGAGATTATTTATGGAAACATAACATTTTATGATAAAATTTGGAAAATGATTTTTGAAACTGAACTCATTATTTCATCTGATCAGTTTTAAAAATTTAGCTATATCCACTTCATAGCATTAGATACACAAACAGTATAGCCAGAACCTACTTAAGTATACAGTAACGAAAGTTTGTTCTGAAGAATTCTAAACCCTCAATTCGTTAACAACTTCATTTTTTTGTCACTGGCAGCTAGTAATAATCTTTAAAGGAAACTAAAAGATCTACAATCTGACAACAACAGAAGAAACACAACAAACATGAAGCATTGTCTAAATTATGTTTGTCATTGACAGTAAATATGTTTAACATTCTAAAAACCTTTACGCTCACAAAGTTTGATTTTTTTGTGTTAACTTATATTTTTGAATACATACTTTCATCCATGAACATCTGTAAATCAAACTTCAAATCTCAGTTTACACATACATATGTAAATTCAGTATTTGGCATGACAACAGTAAAAATGTTCCCTGTTCACAATGCAGTAGGAAAGGATTATAGACATCCACACTTATCTTATTGATGGAGTGAAATTTTTAACTCTGACGTCTGTGTATGCAAACATTGGTTCTATTAATAAATGATGCTCATCAATAGAGTGAATAAAATTACTTTGACTGCAATTGTATCTATGTTCATGCAACCCATTAATAATGATGCTTGCCGATCTCTGTCCTGTTGTATGATGTACTTTTTAGCTTGATGTAAAGGCGAGACTATAATTTATGGATGGATCAATCAGATATAAGATAACAAGTCTTAGATTTTGGCGTGAAAATCATTCATACATTGGTTATCTAGCGTATTGGCATTGTAGCCGATGTCGGTTCGTGATGAGAACCCTAAATCAAATTTCTAACCCTAAACACCAACTGTATATCATAATCGTGATTCCTCTTACTGGTTTATAACCCTCTTTTAGTCCTAGTTAGTAGGTGGACACTCTCAAGGTCACCTTAGCGTTGATCAGAGGTCGTTCATAAATTATAGTCTCACCGATGTAATATTCTGTGCATATGGTACTAACGTCCAGTAATTTTTTTTCATTTCTTTCTTTAGAAAATGACATTTATTCACCAGATGACGAACCATGTAAGTATATGAATTTTCAGTGAAAATATCTAAGATAGAACTATTCAGTGATCAACGACGAGAGTTTAAAAAACCATGTTTTTCTAATGGCTGAAGTTAATAGCAGTATACTTAGTGTTTATTAAGTGTGCCATAGGCAATACCTTCGTCCATTTAATGAGATCTTCGCATATTGTAGTATAATTTTCATTAGCATTTAGTTTCATGTGGTTCGAGTTATTGGAAGTGTTTACAATGAATTTTTCTAGTGTAGAGCAGTCCAACACACTTAATGGGGAATACGAATTTAATACATTTTAGGCCTTAAATTGAAATATTTAATTTAAATCACACTAATATGCAGCGTTTGTACATTAAATGAATGGAAGAGTGATGTAAAGGGTTAGGTATTGTGGAATGAACACTAAATGCATTGTTAATAACCTCAGCCTTTACACCAGAATAAATAGAAATTTTGACATTTCTCAGCTTTGTCCAAGTAATCACTTTATTTTCTGTAGTAAAAGAAATATATCCAATAAGGTTGAGTGTGCTACTTGATATCTTTTGAAACTGATTATTATATGAACCAGTTTGTGTATGAATGAGCAACAGTAAATATGAGATTTAAAGAACGACAATGTGGTTTTAATTTGAAAGGGAAGTAAAGTATGATTTTCAACAGAAAAAATGTGACGTTTTGGAAATAAGGTTAAAGTAGGTAAAAACTTCGTTTTCATAAAGTGCAGTATGGGTTTAACATTACACAGAATGTTTCTACTATTCGTCATTTTTATAATTACAGAATCTTTTTAAAGTTATTTAATTATCCCCAACATCGATATGACATTTAATACAAGCATAAAATACATTATTTCTAAACAAAGGCTAGAAGACCAAAGTTCAGAACAATAAAGTCTTCTTCTTGAAGTATCCACCTATTCTATGACAAACTAATAAAGAATAGAAATCATGTCATATATAGAAAAACAACTTTTAATTTACTTGTGATTCTTATCTTATAGGCTGTCATATAACTGCAATTACTCGGCTAACTATCAATGCAAAGAACAAACATTTATGGGGGCATTTAAATTAATTATAAGATAAATAAAAATTTCCGATCATTCGCAATAGATTTACTTCGTTAGAAATTTCATGCTAAAAGGAATATTTAGTTGTAATAATACCGTATTATTTTACTTCATTACAATCCAATCCAATTTCTTCATTATTTATTATAAATTTTATTACTATGATTATATACTACTTCTGTTGATAGATATAAGTAGTATGTAACACCAATCAGAAGTTGAATGTCTGACAGAAGGTTGAGAAGATCGAATTGAAAAGAACAGGAATATAAACAGAGAGTAATTATAATAAAAACAGAAATGAAGGGACGATGAAGTTTGTAAAAGACAATTGATGAATGATGGGCAAATAAAGTATTTAATGTATGGTGTTCATAATATACCTAAACATTCCGTTATTTGAATTTACCTGGTTGTCAACACCAGATTGTTAGTTCATTCCATTACTAATTACAAAATAGCGATTCAACCTACGATTTTATGAAGTTATTCAATTGAAACCTTACGTTTATCAACTTCATATTATTCCTTATATGTAATCTGATATTGAAAATCTTCTCAAACCTAATCCTATCATTATGTTTAAATTTAAACAAAGTGAGAACAAGATTTGTAAAATAAAATAAACTCATCCGTCTACAACTTAAAATTACAATGCTCAATGCAATTATTAACAATTGTTTAGCATACTTTAGTTTGTGAAGTTTAGATAAATGTTCGAAGCGTAACTGAAATCATCATAGTAAGAAGAATACGGATACAAAATTTATGAATAAACATAGTTAAGATCGATGTGCATTTACATATTGGAAAGTAATAATTCAGAGTAAGCTAGGCATTATAATTACCAGTAATCATAACCAAGGGAAAAGAGGTTATGTAAAGGTAATGAAATTAATAATTGGTCGCGTAATCACTCAACATGATAAAAGAAAACAAATATGTGGACACCAACAAGAATAATAAAGCTAAGGAAGTTGGGGATAGGGTTGGAAAGAAAGATTGAAAATCAAAACTAATGAACGTTATTAGATAAACATCCGACTATCATGTCAAATGAAAGTTAATCACACTTCTCTTCTTTATACATAGGTCAGGTCGGGAACGTTTCATGTCGATCACCTCTGCCAAACGCAATAACCTTGGTGTTTGTTGTCTGTTAATTATTTTGAATGCATTACTTACATTCACCTCGTGTCCACTGTCAAAAAGGTGTCTGACAATAGCACTTGTAAACACTTTACTCTCTTTCAGTCGTACGATCCTAGGAATGTGTTCAGAAACCTAGTACACGCCCTTCTATCTATCATTCCTGTATACTTTCTAACACAAGCACATATAAAATCATAGATGCGATTTCGCGTGACGTCGGGAGGGTGTTGATCTACCTTGGAATGATAATAACAAATACTTGGTATTTGGTATACCTATTCTTCTTACTATTATGATTCTGGTTACGTTTCGAACATTCATATTAATTTCACATACTAAAGTTAGCTAAATATTTGTTATTAATATGATTAATAATTGTAATCTTAAGTTGTATACAACTGATGAGAAACCGTGAAATAGATGGATGGATTCGTTTTATTCTACAAATCTTATTGTTTTTGCTCTGTTAAAATTTATCAAGGAATCTAGTTGTACGAAATATCCTAAAATTGTTATCCTATTTACTGCAAAATCAATCAATAATGCATTTCTTCTTTTTCTAATTTCCTTTCATTATTTTAGCTTGTCCACCGGGTAGATGGGGTAAATCTTGTACAGAAATATGTGATTGTGAAAATAGTGTTGAATGTCATAAAAATACTGGATTATGTATTTGTTTCCCTGGTTTCATTGGTGATAAATGTGATCAAAGTAGGTGATATATCTTGACATAAGAAAAGTATATATTATCTAAGATTAAAAATCATTATACAGATGGTTTACGTTACTGATCGACATCAGTTGATGTATCATTGAAAAATAGTATGTATCAGATAAATTCATATCAATTGTAAGCAACTACTAAAAATTAAATCAATGTACAGAAATTCTCTCAATTAAACTATAAATTATTTCACTGATTGAAATCATGAGTCAGTTGAAGCTAGATCACCATGGGAAACCTGGAAGCACTGGACGACCGTTTCGTCCTGGTGTAGGACTCCTCAGTAGTGCGCAGATTGTAAAGAGCCATTGCATATGATTGGCATATTACACAAGAATAGCTTGACTTGAAATTTTGAAAATATAATAATGCGCTATTGCGAATGATATAAATGGTATAAATGAATCAATCATTAAATACTACAATCTCATTTAACATAATGACTTACTGCTTATGCAATTGGGACCTAGCCATCCTGGTCGACAGTAACAAATTCCATGATTTCAGTCAGCGAAATTTCTAAAATCTCCGCAAAGCCCCTTCTGATAATAATCATCTGCTCACTAGTGACTAACTTCAAGAGATACTCCTGGAGTTCTAATGAGATGCCGTTACCAGTGGAGTTCAACCGGGTCTGTTGTGAGATATCAACTCACTGATGACAATAGTGTACGGTGGTACAACTTCGTGGATTGGTCGAAGTTAGACATTAACACCGTTGGTGCTGGCTCAGTGGTCTAGTTGGTTAGCGCCTGGCGCGAGACTGATAGGTCCTGAGTTCGAATCTCGCGGGGTGCGGGATCGTGGATGCGCACTTCTTGGGAGTCCCATACTAGGGCGAAACGGCCGTTCAGTGCTTCCAGGTTTTCCATGGCGATCTAGCTTCAATTGACCCATAGTTTTAATCAGTGAAATTTCTAAAATCTCCACAAAACCCCTTCTGATATAAATTATTTGTTTGAATAACTCTACTCAGTGTCTTTTAAGAGTTATTGAGTAAAATTTAGAAAAAGTTTTTAATGTCAAATTATGTCAATTGAAAAATCATTGAAATTCGGAAAGTAATGAATAAGTACTTTTCTCTGCTTTGAAACCCAACGGTGTATACTGTGTAACCATAATCCCATCAGGAATCGAACTCAGACTATTCAGGTTTTGCAACGAGCTTTATGCCTTCAGATTGTTGATTCGGGATTTATCGATTTAATGCTATCGGTGATTACTGTTGTATTTTGACATGACTTGATCTTACCAATCTCAACTTCCCTAAAATATATGTGAGTAAGACGGTTATGCACTACAATTTAAGCTGGATGTTATAAAAATGAGACTAACTTCATGAACGTATCTAAAAATAAATATTACATTATTTCACTACACAACTAATATCAGCATAGCATGAGAACAGAATTCACCAATACTTTATGAGTCATTTATTACACTGAGATAAATATGCTAAAATGTTTGTACAGATTTGTGGATAGTATAGCTAACTTATTTGACTGTGAAGAAGAATTATTAATAATGATACTGCTCAATGACCGTCCAAAACTTCTGATTAAATGTAGCTAACAGAAATGTAGACCAATATATCCACTTCGGTGACTGAATATTATAAGTGTTGTTGCGTGGTTATAACTTCAGCTTTCTATCGCAGATCTATTTTGGAGTTATATTCATTAAAGAGTCACAGACAAGAATGAGACAGCTATTTAGTAAGTCCTGTTGACCGATGGATTTTCATTTGATCTTCTCATAACTGTAACTTTAGTAAGTAAAGAAACTGCTCAGTCTATCAACCTGGGAAACATAGCTTGATTAGTCAGTTTCTTACGAGTTAGTTTGCAATTCAATTTCTGGTTTGGATCATTTTTAAAAATTATGAATCTACTGTTTTTAGTTCGTAAAACTAATAACTAACTGAACATCATTTGTCGTCCTAAAAGGTGAAAACTATACCATTTTACTTCAGTTCAACTGCATTTCTCATTTGTACTTAGAGCACTTTTGTTAGTTTTGCTTTCTGCTCGATTTTTCGCGCGAATGAATTCGTATATTATTACATCACCTTGCAATTCATTTGATTATCTCACAATAGTTGGAGTTCAGAGAATTATTTAAAATATATGCTTTGCATTAAAGTGTGTATATGTTAAATTCTTTTTTTTTTTCAAATAATCTGTTATTACAGAATGTGAAAAAGGGAAATATGGACTTAATTGTACAGAAACATGCGCTTGTGTACACGGTACTTGTGATCATCGTTCCGGAGCATGTGAATGTGAACCTGGTTGGAGAAATATGCTGTGTAATAAACCATGTGCACCAGGATTTTATGGTTCTGATTGCCAACATAGATGTTTGTGTACAAATGGTGCTGAATGTGATCCTGTTACCGGTAACTGTGAATGTAATGAAGGTAAATATAAATTAGAGAATAATTCTTAAGTGTTTATTCGACCTCAACTTCATTTGTATACCGGCTCAGTTTATTTTTACTAAAATATTCCTCAAACGAATGGAACTGTTTCCTTTTTTTCTAATCAATCTCAACATCTTTTTTAAATGAATCGAGACTATGAACATTCTACAACTTTATTTCAGAAACAGCTAATAAACAAAAAGACACAGAGTATCTCTGATTATTTCAAAACCCTTACTTCTTATAGAAACCTGATAATTTACTAAAGTAAAAAGAATTAACATGTATTTTATACAATTTGCATTACAATAATTAAACATTCGTATTATGCCACCATATTACGATACAACAGACTTCATCATTAATACATAGATAAAACTTCTAGTTAATTATTCAAAAAGGTGTTACCGTTGATTCGTATTACTTTTTGAATTCTATTTCAACATTTAAAATTCACTATTATCAGCGTGATTGGTTCAACAGTGCAATATAGTTTATATATATATATATATTAGAATAAACCAGTGAACTAAAAACCACAAGTTAGTTAAGGGTCAGACTATAACGACATCAATGAAAGGCTACATAAATCAGTAAACAAGATTGAATGAGGTTTCTTTTGGATAGTTAAAGAAACATTCAGAACAATAAACAAGTAGAAACTTCTAGTCAGTAAAATTTAAAACTCGTTTTAATGCTTCTACTTTCCAATTTCGATATTTCTAAGATGATTCATTGCTTGTATTAGGCTAATATCAAGAGCTTACATCAGTAAAACCTGCCACGATAATCATCCATTCGTAAAACATAACCTTCTTTTCTTTTTTATGTCCGTTTTATTAGGTTGGTATGGACCAGCATGTGACCAACCTTGCTCTGAAGGAACATACGGTAAAAACTGTGTCAAGAAATGCAACTGCGCAGATGTTCCAGGTGTAAGCTGCGATAAAGTCACAGGAAGATGTATTTGCCCACCGGGACGTACCGGTAACAGGTGTTCTGAATTATGTCCTAGTGGATTTTGGGGGGAAGAGTGTTCGAGAACTTGTGCGTGCCTACGTGGAGCTACTTGTGATCCCATAACTGGCAAGTGTCGTTGCGGTTCAGGTTGGTATGGTGAAGCTTGTGAGTTGCCATGCCCAAGTGGCCACTGGGGCGAAAGCTGTTCTGTTCCATGTCAGTGTTCAGCAAATACTCGGAACCCAGAAGGAGGTGAATGTGACCGGTTTACTGGAGAGTGCCGATGCCCACAAGGTTTTACTGGACCAAGGTGTCAAGATAGTGAGTGTTTTTCAGTAATAATTCAATTGAATTGTGTCCATTCATGGTAAGTAGTTACATTGATCACTTTTTTTCTTCTCTCAGAGTGCCCACCTGGGCGTTACGGATCAGATTGTAAACTGAGTTGTCCATGTCAAAAACCGGGTTCTAGATGTGATCCTGTGACTGGAGCTTGTGAATGTCCACCTGGTTGGTTCGGAGAAACTTGTGAAAGACCATGTTTATTGGGATTCTATGGAACAAACTGTAAGCAAAGGTAAACGTTTCATTTCATTTATTTAAACAACAAAATGTACCAAGAGATTTTTATGTGCATAATGACAAAATCTGCCTACTTTTACAAATCTAGGTTAAAAACGTAGAAAACACATCGACTTCTAGTTGTTTGTGAATAGGGAATGATTACAATTTCAATTAAAGTGTACGTCCTAATTTTGTCTAAATTAATTAAGACAACTGAATGTGAAATCCAACAAGACTATAAATTATGTCAATTTTTACTTAAGACACGGTTACAGTTGGGTAATAAAAGGTAAAACTACCATTTTTAGCACTAATAGAATAAACAAACTTAAACGAAAAATAAATAAAATCGCCATGATAAACTTATTGAAAGATCCAACCAGAAAATAGCGAAATATAAACGTCACATTCACTAACATCTATCCAAAAGACTAAATCTGGTCAACTAAAGGATGTTTTTTTTCAAAAAGCCATGTCAACTGTTAGTTACCTTACTATCGAATATACTGCTTATTAGAATTTCTTCATCACGCAACAGTTAGGGTTAGGCGGTAAATTTTCCAGTTATACACAGTATAAATAATTAAAAAATTACTAAGTAGTTGATTTGTTATATATCTTAGATCTGCCTTGTTGATTAAGTTATCTTATCATATAGGAATAGACCATTAATGAAATGCTAATTTATTCAGACAGTTTGATATGTGTTGTTGCTAACAGCAGTGATTAGGATACAATTATTCAGTGAAATGAAATGAAAATCTTACACAAAATTCTATTATGATCTGGTACACATTGACAAGTCAAAAGTTAATCTATAAGAATCGACACTCCCGTTAGTTAATAAAATTGTTTGGGACTTATGATATGATTATCTAACATTATATGTTTCAAACGAGATCATGAATCCATCAATGTTAGATCACCATTGAAAACTTGGAAGCTCTGGACGGCCGTTTAGTTCCAGTATTCGACTTCCCAGAAGTGTGCATCCACGATCCTGCACGCAAGATTTGGACGCGTGACCTTCGGTCTTGCACGCAAACGCTTATCCTCCAGACAGTTGAACCGCTATTCGATAGTTTTAATGTCTGACTTCAACTAATCTGCAACATCGCTCAAACTGCCGAGGATTTTACTACTGGGTCGAAACGGCCGTCCAGTGCTACCAGGTTTTCTGATCGGTTTGTAATCCCAATCAAAACAAAACAATCTCCACAGCCCTATACTGATAATAATATGTTTATCGAATTTCGTTGCATGTAAAATTCAGTGCTCATTAGACTAATTTGTGATTTGGAGTCACGAAATCAACTTTTATATTGAATCACGGACCAAAGTAATGTATAGAAACTCGTGTTTAATGTGTTTATTCGTCAACGATTCAGAGGATATAAATTTTACAAGTCTCATTCATATAAGTTAATCATATTTGTGCATCAGTTCTCAAGTTTATTTTTTGCATCAAACGGGGAAAAATAATTAAGATATTTAATCTTATGGCTGTTGCTTATTTTCAATTATACGATATACTTGATCCCACTAATCGGTTTACTGAAATTCAATAAAATTTAATCATTTAAAGGTTATTGTAAATTAATGTAGTTCGTACAAAACTTTATATCTAAATAATCTGACTTTCATTATTGCAATAACTGGTTTCTAATTGATGATTGATACTTAATGCCTTAAATAATCCGGTGAAAGCCATTGTGTTTCACAAAATTGAAAGCAGATAGAATATAAAAAATAGATATACTAGTATAGGGGTTGTGAAGATTATTAAGTTTTTGATTGAGATCATCAACCGATTGATGTTAGACCACCAGAATTGAAAATCTGGAAGCACTGGACGGCCGTTTCGTCCTACAGTGGGACTCCTCAGCAGTGCGCATCCACGATCCCGCCCGTAGCCCTGGGTTCGAATCTCGCGATATGCGGGATCGTGGATGCGCACTGCCGAGGAGTCCCACAATAGGACGAAACGGCCGTCCAGTGCTTCCAGGTTCTCAATTGTGGTGGTCTAACATCAATCGGTTCATGATCTCAATAAAAAAATGGATTTAACTAAAATTCAACTTTCTCATACTGTAGGCTTTTTGACTTTGTACTTCCATTTTCAACACTAATTGAAACTTTGTAATTATGTTGTATTTTGTTCCTCTGACTGAAACCACTTCATCATACTCCAAGTGAGAGCATTTTTATATTGTTATATCTTCTAGACTAATAGTGCTTCGTTAAAACAGTTACTACTTTCATTGTCTATGAATGAATATTCATTATTACTGTGAATGTTATGAATACACATTTTATTCAAGTGAATCCATGTTTTGTATTCATAATCTTAATGCTTTCACTATGATAAAATTCATTATCTTCGAGTGTGCTTTATGTGTGTGTGTGTGTGAAAATTAAGACATTTCTTATAGTTGGTAATGATTAATGGTTACAAAACGCTGCCAACTTTGTTTTGATTAATGACATTGTTGTAACAGTTGAAATTCATGTTTATTTGCCTTAGAAGTAACTACTAACGAGAATAAATGTTAGTTTCTAATGTTTAACTGAATTTTTGTTTGTTTTTTTTCATATGAAATATCTGAAAAAAATGTTTGAGAATGTTTATGGAAATGAATAAAGATTTTGTTGGTTGACTAATTAAAAAATATACAATAGTGAAATTCTCATTTCATATCCCATTAAAGTTTGTTTCCGATTAAATGGATTCAAGATTTATGGATGTCAATATAAGTATTTTTAACATTGGAGAAATGAATTCCAGTGATTTAATTTATCTGTGATACTTTTCAAGGAAACCTTGATAAAAACAAATAAAAATACAGACTATATAATTTAAGATTCTTAGTTATCTGTTTGATGGAATTGGAATCCTTTGTAATGAATGGTTTTTCTTAATTTTTATGGTATTACACTACTTTGATTCCCAAGTAGTAGTGTAGTGAACAGAACACGGGTGGGGACAATCGAATGTATTTAGCGCAAAATTACAGAGTTACTCGGTAAAATAGAAAAGCAATATAACAAATCGTTAATTTGCAAAATATCAATGCATCATATAAACCTGGATTGTTCCTGTTGCAAACATCAATCCATTGTCTCACATTTCATTGTCCATGCGTTTTCGTACGAATTGCATTGTGTTCCCGCTTTTCCTTTCTTGATCTTCCCCCATCTTCTGCTGCCAGACATTGCGTTTTTAATTCGCGTCATACTCTACTTACATTGATATAAGTAGCACGCACCACAGTAGTAATATGAACAAGTCTTAATAACTATAATAAGAGCAGAACGACTAAATAATATCCCTAATTCTAGTAAACGTGTATTGTCCTCGATCATAAGCAATTTACTGATGTAATATGTAACTTCAATGTTATAAGAGTAACTGGTAACTTCAAGGAAATACGTTTCTCCTATAAAAAAACAACATTTATGAACAAAACTAGTTTTTTCGATAATGAAATAGGTAGTAAAATGAATACCTCCACAAAGTTGTATAAAAAAATTCTTATTATATACGGTTATATACTAAAAAATCAAATATTAAACCAACTTTTAGGTGTTCCTGTCCATCTGGTCAACCATGTCATCATGAAACAGGTCTGTGTAGTTGTCCAGCAGGAAAGTATGGACCACAATGTGAAGATACATGTCCAGAAGGACGTTGGGGTGAGGACTGTCAACATATATGTGATTGTCATTTGAAGAATAATAATATGTTATGTGATCCAATCCATGGAATTTGTTACTGTCGACCAGGATGGCTAGGTCCCAATTGCATAAGCAGTAAGTCATTATGTTAAATGAGATTGTAGTATTTAATGATTGATTCATTTATACCATTTATATCATTCGCAATAGCGCATTATTATATTTTCAAAATTTCAAGTCAAGCTATTCTTGTGTAATATGCCAATCATATGCAATGGCCATTACAATCTGCGCACTACTGAGGAGTCCTACACCAGGACGAAACGGTCGTCCAGTGCTTCCAGGTTTCCCATGGTGGTCAAGCTTCAATTGATTCATGATTTTAACTATTGATATAACTTAACGTTCCAATAATAACAAGTTTATAAAAGTAAATAATATTTAGACAATATCAAGTCAAAACAGACATACTTTGGTCTCACATAAAATTCCTTCTATTATCAATTACACTTATAATTTCAATAGATATCAACTATATGAATTGAAAATTTGCTGTACTTCATTTTCAAGTACTTGTGTTTTATAAAAATCCTTATTTTACCAAATTATCAGTCATAACATTTAAAAAAATAGTTATTTACGTTTATATGGACTATTATTAAAGTAAATCGATAGTTCGAGAACCGTGAAATATCATAATAATATGCGAAATGTAATCACATTTCTACGGTTGTTTGCAACTTGTTATCTTGTATACGTTAGCCAATTGTAAATAAATCATCCTCTTGGACTTTTTGTGAGTTCAGCAGATCTTATTGTAAGAGTGACCCCTATTCACGAAACAATCTACTTTTAAAATGATATAATTAATTAATTGACAATACTTAGAAAATAGTAAAACGTATAACAATAGTTAAAAAGTCATCTGGAAGCTTACAATAAAGAGAATATAGAAGTACAATAAAAATATAAATAACGATAGTCCGAAAAATATTTCTGAAAGTTCCAACTGTCACAATGTTCGTCTCGTTATAGCAGGTTTTATGGACAACAGTAATCTGACATAACTGTGAAAATGTTTAATGAAATAAAGGAAATACTTTCGTGTTGCATACTCTTAACTGTCATATTTGCTTTTTACGACTTTGTCTCTCCCAATTAGGCACTACACTAACTTTCTAATGAAAAATACATGGCTATATAGGGCTTGATTTAAGCGACAAAAACTCGGGGAAGACATAGACCTATGGCCATTTTGTGGACTATTAGTAACTTACTGATAACTAGCCAGGATTTACATAAACCCTAAGTGAGGCACTGATAGGTCAGTGACTAAACATAAGAATCCCATTAACTGGTTTCACAAGGCCAAAAATGTCACAACTATAATGACTGATTGTCGAATAATACGTTTGACCTTTTTATTGAGGTCAACTTCACCGAATTACGACCCAATAAATCCAAGCTACATATTGCCTCCCCTTTGATATTTTCACAATTTAAGTATTGATGTTGAAGGCGATAGATGAGTTCTAAGTTTGCATAGATTATTCAGTGTCATTTTTATTCCATGATGACACATTAACCTTAGCACATAATTCAAACCAGAAAAATTAAGTAACCTAAGCTAAAATGCAAAAGCCGTTCTCATAAGATTTTAGAATGACACTTAATTTGATTTGTTACATTTACTGAAGATGAACTTTTTTAATTTTCTACCCTATTAATACAAAGATTTATGTCGTGTTCAACTGACTGGTATGCTGTTGCAATTTACTTACTTATTATTGGTACAGTGTTTGTTCTCAAAAAAGTGTTTATTTTCGTGTTTACTGACATTATTTTAGAATTGAACATGTGAGGGATTGCCATCTCGTTTTTTTCTCTGTCTCGTTCAATTTCTAGGATGTCCAGCTGGATATTTTGGTATAAACTGTCAACATGAGTGTAAATGTGAAAATAATGGAGTGTGTCATCCTGACAATGGAACTTGTATTTGTCAAGCTGGTAAATATTTATTCAAGTGTTTTATATTTGAATTGGTTATTTGAATCTTCCCACTGGTGTTTAGGACTGCAATTATTCAGTCTCTTTCTGATATATGTCCATCTTATGAGGATCGCCTCAATACTACCATTAAGTTGCAAGGATTATAAGCAGAGATGGATTGTATTCAAGTGATGAGTCCCAAAATGAACAAAACGCGCGTCCTTGGTTCCACTCGTAGCTACTATCTATTCATACATTTTATTTATTAGAATTTTAAATATCGAAATAGTAAAGCATAACAACTTAGCTGACACAATTATTTACCGTGATTATGATTGTTAATGTAATTTCCAACTTCGGTGTTATTATGACTGCAACTATTATAATTTAAAAAACAACTGGACAATAGTCGAACAATTTCAGTTACTAATACTGAGCTCATTTTCGAAAGCATAATTATTCTCGAAATAAAGATGTCTGTTTTCCCTGCAGTTGAATAAACTCATCTTAGCACCAGCCATTGTCATGAATCATCAACACACCAAAACAACAAAGTTAAATTAAACAATGTATGTACATGAAAGAACAAAATGTGTAACAGTCAACTCGTTTTGCTGTTAACTGCTCAAACAAATACAACAACTGGATTGGTTGATTCATTACTATATTCTACTATATTTCTAGTATTATACATACCATTCCAAGAAGTTGTCAACTTAGGTATGGTATTTTGTGGCACTCAACAAGAAAGTTTTTCTTTAAGTCTAATCAAAATCTTTTTCCTTTAACGACAGAAACCTATCTCATCCAGTACTACAGTTGGAATCATTACCACTAAATATTCATCTTCTTATCATTTCGCCATAAAACTCGATTATTTCAATAGATTACCTATCTAGTGATTACTACTCTTCTGCTCTCTATGAATTGATTTACTGTTTACCAACTAGTTATTATTTCATTCGGTTTAAGGAATCAAAAGCGAGTTCTCTATTAACTAGAAAGTACTTTTATTTGAACTATAACTAATGTGTAGATTGCCATTCTACAACTGTTAGAAAATTCTGCATTCACAAAAAAATATTACACAATACTCAGTTAAACTGTTTATTAGTTCATTATATTATGTAGTGCATTATGCATCAATTTTTTTTTTATTTTTACAGGGTATTATGGTGAACGTTGTCAACTCAATTGTCCTCCTGGTTTTTATGGTTTACAGTGTAAACAAAAATGTGGATGTATTCATGGTGAAGCATGTAATGAAGTAACTGGTGAATGTTACTGTTCAGCTGGTTACCATGGGAAAAAATGTGAACAAAGTAGGGGATTTTTTATTGTCATTTTGCACAGCAATGGTTTTTATGTCATATAAAATAACTATTATAATTTACCTCAAACTATCAGTGTTTCCAAAAATATGTTGGTCAATAAGTACAATGTTTCGTCTGACACAGTTGATTCAAAATCATAGATTTATATGTCACTCTTTTGAGGGCTTATCAGTCAACTACACTTTCAGTCTCCATCATAACTACTATATATATATATATATATATATATATATATATATATATATATATATATATATATAATATATATATATATATATATATATATATATATATATATATATATATTTTTCTGTTTATAAATAGTTCATTTTAATCAATGTGGAACTTTATATAAAGAAAGAGGATAGAAAGACCATTTACCATTAATAATCACTAACATAAAAAGTTATTTAAAAAGATTTAAATGAGACTATTTTATTACCAAAACTTATAGTTCACAGTAATATTCTGTTTGAAACTTTTCTCATATAATTACACATGATCTATGTACCTACTAATTCTTACCAACAGTAAATTCGGAAGAGAAAATTACATAGAGATGAAGTCATCAAATCTATTTTGTACAGTTGTAGAAAATAAAGTAAAAAGTTCGTATATCTACTTATTCCATGGGTAGAACTCTAGTGACAATTCAGATTTCAACATCACATTTGTAATTTTATATTAATAATTAATGCTTTTTTTAAATATAACTTTTCAGCTTGTCTTCCTGGTACATATGGACCACAATGTTCATTAATTTGTCCTGTATGTCATACTCGAATTGCAGATTCAAATACACTGGATAGTTTATTACTTTCAGATACCTCATCAATCCCAGATAATACATTTCATTCATCACAATATCATTCAGAAGAAGTAATGAAAAATACTAAAGTAGCTATATTGAGACGTTTAAATCAGAATCAACATAACCCTACTTGCCATCCTCAAACTGGACAATGTCCATGTCCACCAGGTTCGGAAGGTAAAGATTGTAGTACACCATGTCCGAAAGATCGGTTTGGACCTGACTGTGCTCAGGTAAGAGTGTTGCTTTAATAAAGTAAAAGACATTCATGAAAGCATTTAATAAAACTAAGTAATTCTCATTGAAACAATTCGGGAACTTGTTATGGCCCACAACTTTCCATCTTATTGTTAACTAGTAACTAACTGGATCTCATAGCGATCGTCTTTACAAATGCGTATAGAGTACACTAATGTATCACTTCCTATCCTGGAAAATCCAGTTATTTTTCGTCTGGCTCAAAATTCTAGGACTTGTTACTCACGAAAGTGAATTTCAAATTACAAGTTAATCAGTTACCTGACTTTGAAAAACTATACGACAATTACCATAGTAATCATTCTTTGATTCTTCCTTTCATACCGTTTGAAGTGATTATTTTCTTAGAAAATAGTCCTACATGCAGTAGAGGTCTCATTATTTTAAGGGTTCCATTTAGTTTATACTTCGTGTAACAGCTCCCTTAATTACACAAGCGATGAGCTATCTGACTACTTTGCAGGAGTAAAATGATAATTTCAGTCAGAAGCTATCGATATTGGAAGCGGTAACAAGAAAAAAAACTGAAGACAATAGTCGTATAGAAAAGTTGTATAACTCACAAGGATTTTGTTATGATTGTATGTATTATGATTAAGTACTAATAATGTTAATAACTAGTGAAAAAACAAATACATAGCTGTATCATAAAATAGAACCAGACACATCAACGTTGATACTCAATTTGTTGCATACCATAGGACTTCAAAGAACACATTTTCCTATTTCTGTCATAGACTTCTATTTTAGAAATACAAATGATGGATGTTTTGGAGAGATGGTCAAATTCTTGTTTATAATAAAAATGACTTATGAGTAACAATATCAGGCATAGATTTTTGTATGAAAAAACCTATTTGTAAGGTATAGCGTGTCAAATATGACGCTAATAAAAATAAAATTCCTACAAAACTGTACACTTCAAGAGTGTTTTTTCTCTAAGAGTATTTAGACTTGATGCATTGTTCACGTTTTCAACTACTTACCAAAAACGAATTCATATGATGTAGTTAAACAAATATTAATTCTATTGTAGTGAACGATAACAATAATGAGGACAATCGAATGTATTCTTTACAACATTACAAAATATCTTAATAAAATCTAAGAACCACACAATAAATACTTCATTTACAAAATGTTCATTAATTGTGTCAGACTTCATTGTTCCTTCATTTCCATACCAATAACTTTCTGTTCCCATTCTTTACTCCTTGATCTTCTCGACCTTCTGCTGCCAGACATTCTATCCTGACTAGCGTTATATACTACTTATGTGGGCATAAGTAGCACACATCACACTAATATTATTTCTCGTAGAATTATATCAAATAGTAATTAGATTGATTACCATTCTATTTCGACATTTTCTTCTCATTTTCCTTAATTCATAAATCATGAGTCCATGAGGTGGAAAGTAAAATTATACAAAAATACATTTATCATTGAACTAATCACAATCAACATTAGAGAGCATAATACAAAGCAATGATTCTCACTGATTGATCGACTGACTTGATAATTCATTAATCATTGATTAACAAATGTTCAACAACTTTCATATCTCCTTAAATTACTTTATGTTAATAACAATTTATTCTTGAGTATGATAAGTAATTAGTTAGTTGAATTCAAACGAAATGTAATAAAATCAGTCAGCTACAACGTAGGACCAGGCACATATGTGCATCGGTCCAGGTTGCCATACCGCATCAGCACAACAAGATGAACACCGGATTCATAGCAGTGGTTATGTCAAAGATGGTAATATATAAGAGAAAGATTGCATATAGAGATATAATACAAGAAGAAAGAATTGGTTCGTAGAAAGAAAGATATGAAGTGATTTTAATCTCTTAGTTTAAGGGAAGACAGGGAGTGTATACACCGACGCCATTGTGATCGATTCTGAGCATGTCACCAAGAGTCTCCAACCATTGGTTACGATAGTCACGCGGACCCCAACCAAGTAGTCTGCATCTACCAACGTGGCTCAGACTACAAGTTAGTGACTTTAAGCACTGATGCCACGTTTTGGTTTGGCCGCCCCTAACTTTCTTCCAACCATCTCCAATACCGGATAGCATTGCACGTCGTGGTAATCGGTGTTCAGGCATACGTAACACATGGCCCAACCATCTCAGTCGATGAAGATTCATAACCTCATCAACTGATAATTTTATATTTTAATGTAATAAAATATAAAATTACCTTTCTTAATTGTTAGAATAAAAAGTATTTGATGTTTGTAAAGCAATAATATGTTATCATCAAAGGTATTCGGATTTTATAAAGTCGACTATACATGATCATAATTTAATTGGATCCCTAATACAACACATTTTCTCAAACTTAATTCTAGAAAAGAGTATCAGCATAAAGATCCAAATCAATGCTTACTTAATAGTTCTTTTTTTATTTATCACGTAGGCCAAAAACTTCCTATATTTATTGTAATAGTTCCATGTGATTCACTCTAGACAATGTTTTCTTCATACTAGATTAATGTTATCTAGACACGTTTCAGTCTTTCATAATGCTAAATAGTTTCCATTGTTTAAATAATGAACTAATTTTGGTTAACCAAAATTGCAAACTAGATTATACTAGACAGCTGTCTCGTTTTATTACGGGATTCATTATCAATATGTATCCATGACTTTGTCACAGTGAGTCCAACACATGACTTTTGGTCTCACCGGCGACCCTTTAACCTCTAGATCCCTGAAACAGAATCCAGTTGTCTACATTTGCCTGTGTGACTAAATGTATAGATGTATACGCGTGCTTTTAGTTAGCTTGTAAATCATAATTTTACGTAGTCTGTATAATCTGGGGACATAAACGATTGGGTTCTTCAATTCTCTTTCTCTTGTATATGCGTATGTGTGTATGTATGAAGTAGTAGTAGTAGCAGTACGAAGAATTCTGTGATTCCATTTCATTATTTTTCTAATTTCAATTGATTCCTCTTTATGTAAACAAAATCTATTAATTCCTTGTTACTTATAATTATTTCACATCTACTACTGTTGTTTCTCATCTGTCTTACTCTTATTTGCAATGTTATCCATATATACATTGTCCATCGGTCATTTAAGATGTGTTAAACGATTATATATTCGATTACTAAGATATGTATTACATGCCCCGGCTACATTTTCGATTTAGTTCCTCATGGCCGAATTGTAAATTGTTTTTCACAAGATATTTCAATATTGGATAATCCAGTATTGGTTTCACTCAGTAGTACATTGAACTGTGTTCTAACGTGTTTCTTGACTCTATGTCTTGCTTGTACACTTAATGTTTTCATGATTATTCCTAATTGTTTATTAACAATTATCTATTTATATATTCATATATTTATATGTTACTACATCTAGACAACTGAAACGTTTAAAATCGATTAGTTTGTCACCAATATTTCCACATTTCTCAGAAAACTTATCTGGTGTCGATAGTATACGAGCGTATAAATTAACTTCAACCAGTTCGTAATATTATATTACACAACATCGATTGATTAAAATAAGCTCTTATATATATAAATATACTTCAGTTTCATAATGTAAGCAAATAAAGGAATGGACTCAATAAAGAATTATTGTAGCAGAGTATATATGAATGTAAATAAAATGCATTTTAGAACAAATTGAAGTCGCAGGATAACATTCAGATAATCGATTAATAAGAAAACAATTCTTCTACAAATAATTCCATTTATAAATTGTTATAAAAAAATTACTAATAATAGTTATATGGTGTACTATACCAATCTCAAGTTGTGCATGAATTAATGACATATTATAAGAAATATTTAGATGACAACTATTTGGTGATCTAGGTCAGCTAAGTGTATAGAGGTTAGATATTCGCGCGCAAGACTGATAGGTTTTGGGTTCGAATCTCGATCGTGGATGCGCACTGCTGAGGAGTCCCACAATTGAAGGAAATGGCCGTTCAGTGCTTCCAGGTTTTCTATGGTGGTCTAGCTTCACTTGATTCGTGATCGTAACTAATAAAATTACTATAATATCTACAGAAACCCCTTCAAGTTTAAAATCAGTTGAAAAATTTTTTATTTGCAAGTAAAAAAAATAATAACATTTGGATAATAAAACTTGTCTTTTGTTCAAAAGACAATTAAAAAACACTTGGTTTCATAGGATTCCGTAAAAATAATCTGTCAAACTTATTCTGATGGAGTTTTGTTCTCTGAGCTGGATGGTTTGGTCGTGAAGCTTTCATCGTTCTTCTAAACAACATCATCAGCACAAACTTCAGATAGAAGTCTATCTGAAGAACGATGAAAGCTTCACGACCAAACCATCTAGCTCAGAGAACAAAACTCCATCAAAATCACCCACCTGAGCTACAAATCTTCTCCACCATGTCAAACCTATTGTCATGTACAGTTGACAAATAACTGAACTGATAAAAATTATGTAATTTTCATAAACAGATTTTTGAAATATGTTTAAACGATTAATGAAATGGATTTGTCTAACTCATTTCCATATTTTCTACACTGCTTTATTTAAATTCATATATGAACAATTTGTTGATCCAACTTAATCAGTTTATATTGTTATAAACTGGGATAAACTTAGTCATAGTGAAGTGTAGATGTTAATTCATTCAGCTTAGTCCTTATAGAAAAATAAGTTTCACATTCAGACATAATTTTCAATCGGGATATTTGAAAACACAAATTGAAAATGTTTAATTTCCTCAGAGAAACTTCATGTTCAGACATATCTAAATCAGAAATCGCACTATATGTGACTTAGATTACCTTTTGTGAGTCATTTATACAAAACTGTTGAAAAGAGGTTGTACGAGATGATAATCATCTAATATTTCCTTATGTGATTTGCTCTATTACTGAAAGTCTATTTAATCTCAGAAGTGAACAGATGAAGATTCACTTTATGTGAACTCTACATTTTCTATCCCAAACTATTTTTATTCCTACTACTTATGGATTCTATATATTGTTATCATTGAATAGAACCTTAAAAAAAAGCAGTTACGATTATATTGTCACTATGCAAGCATCAATATAAATCCCGTTCACTATTATTTCAATATCAAATCGGTAAAATACATAACAAATTTGATTATTTTTACCTTCGTACCGATAATCTGACACTTTATTTTGATGAATTAATTATTGTATATTCATCACTTTATTCTATTTGTGGTCAAAAGATTGTTTATTTGATCATTTCTATGTGTTTACAAAAGGCTCAGTTAACATATTAAGTATATTTAAACATATAGACGATGATATGATTATCATCTTATCAATCATTTCATTCTCCTATCTATAATCTAGGTCATAGTGAACAATGATATCATAAAGTATGAAGTTCGACCACAAATTTTAGGGCGATAGTCAATCATATATTCATTTAGATGAATATTAATTATCTCTGACCTACTTCGTTGTAATGAAAATGTTCTCTTAACTTTCTGTCTCAAGTATTCAATTTGAATAAACCATAAACTTCATTTCTATGATACTGTTCAATATGTCATATAGTCTGAAACATTTTTTTCCTATTCAGTAGACTGTAGATTAAATTAAGATTATCATAATTAAAGGCAATAAGAATGATATTTTTCTCTAGTGAAACCAACCTACAGAAATAAGTAACATTAGTTTGAATACCTTGTGGTTAAATAATTAACAAATTTTTTTTATTCCGTCATATATTATTCTCCTGCTATGAAATTATAAGATATTACGTATTTCGATTTTATAGTAGTTATCAATGAATGCTTTCTACTTCTATAATCTGTTGATGTAGGTATGTACATGTCAAAATGGAGCAACATGTTCCTCTATCACTGGCACTTGCAATTGTCGACCAGGATTTTATGGACCATTATGTCAACACATATGTCCACCTGGAAGATGGGGAGTGGGATGTGCTTCTGTGTGTGATTGTTATAATTCACAACCATTTGGTTGTGATCCTAAAACCGGGAGATGTAGATGTAAACCAGGTTATACTGGTGAACGTTGTGAAGAAGGTAAGTCTCATAAAACATAATTCCTCCACGAAATCTATGAACACAGTCACTAATACTAGGAAGTCGTTTTATTTTTAATTGACTTAGACTGTCGAATATTAGATCTCATTAGGGATGATCCCTATTCATCGGGAGATTCAACAAAAATACATGAAATTTTTCAACATTCATTGCAGATATTATACTTAATTAGAGATTTCTTATTCGGAATTGGGAAAACTCTAAGAATAGCAGAGAATTTCTTAAAGCATTTCGTTCAGATCAATTAGCAATCAATAGACATATCGTCACAGCTCTAACCCATGAACCCACAAGGAAGAAGCCAATCAGCTGCAAGGTCAGAGGTCGGCTGACAAAGAAATTTAACGTCAGTAAGAAGGTTTGTGATAACATCGAAGTCTGCGAAGACAGCCAACCACAAAAAAGGCCGTTCAAGCAAACTGAAATACCACCCGTAGAACAATTGAAAAGATCACGTCTACATGAATTAGGAGTTAGACATAATGTCCGGAGTGACAAGATGTTTCGTATTAGATGGTGGTTGGAGGTAGTCAACAGGAAACCCTGGACCCGGATTTCGTGCTACTTGGCACTCGTCAGCAAGGTGTACCTGTAATCTTGAGGGAACTGGTGCTCCCTGGCGGATTCGATCTCGTGTCACCCAGCTTCACAGTCAGAGACGTTACCACTGAGCTATCCGAGCCATGACTAACCTCCTGTAGGACTGAGATGTAATCACAATTGATTGATCACTGGGTGGTGATCAATCTCATGCTTGTCTAGTCCTTATTAGTGCACATCGAATGCTATCGATCACGGCTCGGATAGCTCAGTGGTAACGTCTCTGACTGTGAAGCTGGGTGACACGAGATCGAATCCGCCAGGGAGCACCAGTTCCCTCAAGATTACAGGTACACCTTGCTGACGAGTGCCAAGTAGCACGAAACCCGGGTCCAGGGTTTCCTGTTGACTACCTCCAACCACCATCTAATCTCAATACATAGTGCCCGCAGTGTCGAGTCACCTAGACTGGTGGCCACATTGCAACATGATCGATAGCATTCGATCTGCACTAATAAGGACTAGACAAGCATGAGATTGATCACCACCCAGTGATCAATCAATTGTGAAAATGTTTCATAACTAGATCATCTAGCTTAGAGAACATCATACCACCATTATTACGAAGCGTAAATGTCCATACTAAATTAACAGAATGACTCTTCAGTTTTCAACCTAAAAAAACAGTTGCATTGAGTTTTTAATTTTACTCAACATATGAACATTTGTATAATCTAGGATCCACAATTATTTGACTACTCAGATTGTTTGGTTTATGATCCAAGTAGGGGAAGCATTTTATTTCCATAGTCAGGTATAATTTGTTTTAGTACCGTACCTTTTCTAATTATTGTTTCTATTATTTCCTGATTGATTTTCTTTTGTTAATAAAAGCTTTATCTAAACAAAATAAAATGCCAAACATCGCGAGTACTTGATTACTAGTCTGAAGTTGAAGCAGTCCGTTTAATTTAAAAGATTACAACTGACTTCCCAGCAACATACTAACCAAGGTTATTGGATTTTAGAAACATTTTTGAAGTCACATATTTTCATTTTTCTTCATATTTAACCTCAAACTCGGCACCGCTTGCTGCAATTACTGGAATTTTAGCCAGTTAAATAATGAGTTAGATAAAGTATTGATCATAAATTCGATACTGACTATTATTAAAAGTTTACCCCCCCCCTTACTTAACGTTTTATGAAGCCAAATCTACTGACTTTCTATTCAGAGCCCTCGCTCCCATATTCAATTGCATTTCCATAGCACTCCTTCCTTTCAACAATAACTTTGGTTTGATGAATTAATGCTTTCCAAAATACGAGTTACTAGTCACATTAATCATCTACGGAAACCTGGTAAATTAATGGATAATCATATAGTTTTCATTAGTCATGTAAACACCTAAATAATTTTTAAATCTATAATCACAAACTATACAAATGTTGTGCTATGCATTAATACATGTACACATCTTTTTGTTTCTGATAAATAGGGTAAAATAATAAAAATACTACCAATGTATGGTGTATCTAGCCTCTCTGATTGGCCAATCGATTTTATAATTCGATTTTTCACGTACCCTTCACTAGAAAACAAATTCCATATATTATTAGGATAAACAAAATATGTTACTGAAAAATTTTGAACAGTAGAAAATTGTTTAAAACTAGCATGTACATTAGTTGAAAACGAATATAAATAACTAAATTTTTTCCAGAATTATAGTTATTTGAAGGTAGTGTTGATCAACGATGTATATGATCTGTGTCAATAGTTTCCGGTCTACTCGAGTTGAACGGGAATCATGTCATCTCCCAGCTCACGTCGATGTTACCCCTTAGGGTTAATATATCACCTGGATTATACTGACGTGATAACCAGGTGACTGGCCAAAATGAATACTCCTGATAGACTACAGAAAATGGTATTATTAACGGTTAGCAGAAGTACAAGACTGAACAAGTACCATATGCGCCTATCCATGACATCCAACTGATTTCTACTCACCGGTTGTCTTTGACCTCGGAAAGAGTAGGCAAACTCATCGACACTCAATGACCTGCCTGGTGAATGATCTGACTAGGGCCCATTGACATTTCACAGGCACTGCAGTAGCGCTAACTCTAACATTCATTACAAGACCATTTAAAAGCGAAAACTAGTTCAGAATTTCCTCGGTAGTGCATACTCATAACCCCATATTGGATCGGATTTATGAACTTCAATTCACTTAGTCATCAGGATATAATCCATCGGCTGAATCAGAATAAGTTGATTAACATTTTTGACCATAATCAATTATTGATATTATAGTTACCTATCATCAACAAGTAGCATTGATCAATTAGTGTCTCACTAGTAAACTCAGTTAACGCAACGAATCATAACTTTTAACTAGATGTTTAGAAAATTTTCTCTCGAAACTATTCACCAGCAATCATGTGATTGCCAATATTTGCAAAGGTGTTTGATAGGTGCATACATTTCGAAAATACTTTTCATCATAAATTAGTACCAGATCTTCTACTGCCGAAATCAGAGGATTGCAAAAATATCTGTTCCTTCTTAGTCTAGGACTTCTTAACAATGTACACTTGACGACCTCAGACAGGATCAAGTTCAAAATTTTATGATTTCACAAACAACATAATATTTTGTTTAGTTTTCTCCTCTATTTATGATAAACGTCTGTCGCTGGCAGAAATTCTGCTAAGAACCAGTAATTTATTATATAATATCTTATATAATGTTCTTGTTGTTATAATTTTGGTTTATTAAACTCAGGGAATAAAAATTAGGTTATACTAAATACATTCTATAAATTAATCCAAGTTTTTTAATAGACACTAGATAAATCCGTCATACTTGTTCTGAATTGATATACGCTTACCTTTCGAAGGAAAATAAAATCCACTTTTATCAAAAATAAGTTAAAACTATCGAAGAGCTCAATCTTAAATTGCCTGATACTACTGATAATAATAATAATTTTTTCTATAAGTATGGTCTATAGAAATTTTATACTTCGACTTTTTTTCTTGCCTTACTTTTAAAAATATAAATAATCAGTTTGTCCTCGTGGTTATTTTGGAGAAATGTGTGCACAAGCTTGTCAACATTGTGAAGAGTGTCATTTCGAAACTGGACAGTGTCTATGCCCTTTGGGACATTATGGAGAAACATGCGGCAGTAGTAAGCAATATCCGCATACTTCAAAGGTTAACGAAACAGAATTTTGGTGGATATAACACGTTGATCACAACATTTTTTTCATTAAATAGGAATAAATATTACTGTTTCTTTTAAGCATGTTTATGTTTGTGTCATGTCTATTGTGAAGATAGTTACAATCATTTATCTTCTTACACAAAGATTGAATTAAGAGGAATGATAGATTTATATTTAAATAACTGATTTTGATATGATGAACTTTGAACGACTGACTACTTATTGACTCAATCCAGTATTCAACACCTAAATTTTATTGAAATGGGCTTTGAACAATCCCTCTTAATTAAACCGTCATTATTCAGTTAATCCAACAACTTATGATGACTGAAGTCGAATCCGAATAAGTTGTTCATTTATTTGTTTCAAATTACTGTAAACTGTCAACAACCATATAGCAATGAAAGCCTGCATGAGTGGCAACACGGTAGATCAATGGATAATGTAGAGTAATATATTATTGTTTAGAAGATATGTACAGTTAATAGTCCCACCAACTATTAATACATGTCTATAGAAGACCAGATGAAATATTTGTAAATACATAGTGTTTAATTTATCCCTGATTTATCCGAATAAAAAACAATGATATCAATAAAGTGAATGACTTGAGCTTGATCAAACGCATTATTTAAAAAATGAGTCACTAACCTGAACAATATTAATTTCGACTAAGTCATTGTAATGGGCATTAAACAGATAAAACTAGAAGATTCTGCTGCTTGAATACAGTCATACTTAGCGTAGAACCTGGCGTACACGAACTTCAGCCCAATTTACCATTCTAGGTCAACGCAAGATGGAATCAGCAAAATGATTGCAGAAACAATGACGGTGAAATAGACTAAACATTTAAAATATGGTCTAAGAAATAATGGAAAAGTGCATAAGAATAAATAATGTAACTAAAGATATAGGGGAAGATTAGGAAAGAACGGATTTATCACTATGACTGATTCTATAGCAAACCATATAACGTCTCTAACCAATGATCAGAGTTATCATGTAGACCCTGAACAAGTCGTCTGTGACCACTAAATTAGCTCAGAACAACAGTCTATGACTTCACAAATTGATCCCATATTTCGGTTTGGTTCACTAACTATTTCTTATTCGAGCCTAGATTTCGTATCGAGTAGGTGGTGGTTAAACATATATAACACATACCTCAACCATTTCAATTTATCAAAATTTACTACTTCGTCAACTGATTTAGCATCTTTCCCTGTTATTCTTTTCCTAACTTTTGGGCTAATCATTCAGTTGTTCGATGTTCAACTTCTGTTTCATGTTTGTTGTACACCAAGAACATTGTCGTTGTTTGTCTTTTTTATTACTGTTGTGTTTTATACTTATCATCAATCCTAACATTATTATCTCTGATAAATAATATGAATACTTTAAATGTTGTGATCAAATATGTGTATGTATTCCCCAAAATTATATTTCGTTGTTAATTGTTTTTATTATTAACTATACAACTATTGATTATCAGTGTTACTTTTTTTATATGCATGATTTTGCAATGTAGTGATTTATACAATATATTGTTTTTATTTATTTATTTCAACACATAGATAATGGTACAAAGAGGCACCAAATACATATGCGCCACACAAATCTCATTCGACATGTGTGAGGGCTGTGATACTGACCGGGTGCCCAAACCGAAGCAGGTGGTTTTCTTAGGGAGCCACACCCCGAGCCTTCGACCTGAAGGTCTGATCCACAAGGCAGTGGAGCATCGTAAGGAGATGCAGTCCCATGGAAGCCGGTGACCAACAATAGGTTCATACGCCATTTGTTCCCGCAGGATACTGGAATCCATGTGCACCATTGGTTTGGATTCCGGTTAAAGCCTCGGACATTCGCTTTTCGTCCTCTCAATTTCGTAAACAACAGAAATGCCACGAGAAGTCAGTGAGTAGGACTTCCCTGGCAGAGGCTATATACGCGTGGCCGTGTGCGAGCATTTCGAGAGGGAGAGCGGACTCTCCCCACTCTCGGCCGTACCAGGACATTTGGGGGCTTGTATATATATCCACAATCACTTTTATAGTAATAATAATAATAATAATTCACTCATTACTACTCTTAATATTGTATATTCAAGTTTTATGCTGAATTCCAAATATAATATCTAAATAGTAATAATATAGAACAATTTTCTAATCTGTCCATATATGTGAAGGATCAAAACGTGTAAACTCTCCAACATCCATATAAATAGGTGTAAACATGAAAGAATGAAGTTCAATTATCATACATAATACAATTTAAATATGACCGATATAATTTATTTTTATAAAATGAATGAATAATTAGATTAGATTATTGTTTGGTTGAATTAAATGAGGATAAACGATAAGTTTGTAGTGTTATATTTTATTTAAAAAATGATAATTTACTTAGAACATTATACAATCAATCGTTTAACAGAACATGAATACTGAACATTTATGTTTAATCAAAGCATGGCACTTGCAAAATTATGTTATATATTGTGGCCTTATGCCCCATTAATGTATAACGTAATGATATTGCCAATTAGAGAACAGTGATTTATCGACCGGATCAATGACACATAAACCTGTACGAGCAGTCTAGAGTCTTTATCGGTCCTTCTTCCTGCCTGTTGAGTCCAAGAACACTAATCTCAGCCTCTGCAATATGAATCATATATATTTCAAACATACTGGGTTTATATACAAACAAAACAGACCACATCGTAACATAAAATAGAAAATAACATTTGTACAAGATCTACCCGAAAGTGGCTGTGAATGTGGGAGACCGTAATTAATAGACTGGGCAGAACTCAAGAACAGTAAATCGTATAATAATAGTCTATGAGTCAAAATAAAGCTTTAGTAAAAGGAACATGAATATGCATAGTTTGGCTACTTAACAATTATACAATAAACATATATGTATCGTATTGGTCCATAAATAGATCAGAACAGATGCCATTCAATATTCTCGTCGGAATATAACAAAAGAGTAGCTTGACGAATCTAAATCATGTTGTTAAGATTATTGTGTCATATGTCGACATACGAATTCTCCGAATGCAATCATCAGCGATGTATTCCTAGTTTGTGTAGTTGTTACTTATATCTGCATGAAATAAACAGTATACATCGTCCATGTAGTAAAATAACTAATTCACAGACACTCCATCCACATTCTAGAAATTATAAGTCATTACCTTTCTACAGATACTTATAATGTTACTTTCTTTGTAGTTGTTCTTATTGTTATACATTATCAAAACGTTATCAGGACTTTACAACGGAAATGTGACGGTTACCGCACTATGACAGGTAGAAGCCATTTCATCAATATCATTAGAGCATATAAAAAGCTGGTGTAATATTATGAAGGAAGATACGAATAAATGGGAACCACACCTGTAAAATAGAACAAATAAGCCATAGGTTGAAAAATCCGGGACAAATTATACATGGTACTGATATTTAGAGGATGGAGAAAGAAAATACTGGATAGAGATAGATTAAAAACACCTACTGACATTCTAAGCTATCTTTAATGTAGTGAACAATAACAAAATAATTACCTGTAGTTGCATTACAGCAATATTTATGTACAATGATAAAGTTTGGCCTGAGCTTTTTCAAAATGGGAAGTTTTTGAATCCTTATACTTTGTGTTTTGACTAGTTCGACCATTAAATCATGTAGCCGGATGAGCATACCATTAGAATTATCATGATTTATGAATCTTACTTTGATCCGAACCCTCACAGTCTTATATTAATGTGTCGTCAGGGTTATAACTACCCTACTGTTTTATGCCTAATTACGAACAAAATTATAAAAATCCAACCTGTTTTCCATGCTATCAGGTATATTATAATATTGGATGAACATTTAAATTTCCAAACACTACTGATTAGGGCAGCAATAAGATACCAGTCAGTGAAATATCAGAAGTGATGAAGAATAATAGGTATAATAAAGGGAAAAATAGGTTTTTTTATTCAACTCACCAAGTTATTATAAGGAATACTTTAACTTCGTAGGATAATCAAACGGTGTAAAATATTTAAAATGTCTTATTCTACTGCTAAGTGATATAATTGAAACCTTCTTTATACTGACCATTTCAGCATTAATAAAATTGTTGTTCCTAACATGTTCCTGTAATAATATTCTTTTATTATAGTATGTCCACGCGGTCAATATGGGGTTAGTTGTTCCAAACTTTGCTCATGTCAAAACAATGCAATCTGTTCAGCTAATATTGGGAACTGTAATTGTTTGCCTGGATTTATTGGACCTGACTGTTCAATAAACAGTGGTGAGTAGTATTTAAATTTGAAAATAGCATTTTGAAGTTTAGCGATACAATCCAAGATTTTATTGTTAGGAAAACATACATATTTGTAGGGATGTTTGGTTTTCAGTATTACGGTGATATTCATTTTCCATATGCGTCACTGACTAGTTCTACAGTACAGTTAATTAATAAGAAATAAATTTCCATGTGATCTTTACTAATCTCATTTGGCTACTCAAATATATCATTTAAAAGGATATGTATTATATACACCATATACCATAGTCTTAATTATGCTGATGTACCGCTGGCTAGTTTACAGGACAGTAAAGTTTTTACTTCGGTACTAAACATAATCATGGTGTAAACGTGGTTAATAAAGACGGTTATTCTCAAAATCAATATTCTTATTAGGTATGATTCGCCCGTTTGAACTCTAATGTTTTATTGTATCAATGAGTATGGTTATTGATTACCTTTTCCGCTATTATAAGAAACAAAATGAGCGAGGAAATAATTTATGAACGAGCCGATCAGGTATAACAGGTCTCGGATTTTGGTGCGAAATTTATTCATTCATTTGGCTGAGTTTTGACATTATAGCTGATGTCAGTTCGTGATGAAAACCCTAAATTTAATTCCTAACCTTAACCATCAACTAAAAATCATAATTCTAATTCCTCACTCTGGTTTATAACCCTCACTTAGTAAATAAAATTACTTTGACTGCAATTGTATCTATGTTCATGCAACCCATTAATAATGATGCTTGCCAATCTCTGTCCTGTTGTATGATGTACTTTTTAGCTTGATGTAAAGGCGAGACTATAATTTATGGACGGATCAATCAGATATAAGATAACAAGTCTTAGATTTTGGCGTGAAAATCATTCATACATTGGTTATCTAGCGTATTGGCATTGTAGCCGATGTCGGTTCGTGATGAAAACCCTAAATTTAATTCCTAACCTTAACCATCAACTGAAAATCATAATTCTAATTCCTCACTCTGGTTTATAACCCTCATTTAGTCCTAGTTAGCAGGTGGACATTCTCACCGTCACTTAAGCGTCGCTTAAAGGTCATCTATAAATCTCAGTCTCACCACAAAGTGCTTTGACGAGTATAACTTTTGTGGAGCGAGAACTTTTACAAGTAAAGGTGATAATGGAAGCACCTACCACTGGAAAGCAATTCATTTCCATTTACATATATTTGTCAGTGTCAAATCCTAATGAAACTTTGAAAAGTAGACTTATGAACAACAATAATAAGCATAAATTTATTGGAATAGATTGGGATTACATATCACTGATTATTCAATCCCTATCCTGATTCATGATAACTTTGAAGACGAAATATCATTTTATCTCGTTTGTTTTGTTATCTATACTACTTAAAACTTGAATGTAATTTTGTTGGTAATACATTGGAACTGTGTACTACAACTTGGTAATGCTGATCCTAATGTATTTTTATTGCTTATCAGTTGACGTTGCCAAAATATTGATAGACAACACCTTTTTTCCTCGTAGAACTTTCCAGTTAACATGAAAGCTTGGAATATAATCGATCAAACCACTGAATCAAAATTAATATAGCTTCTGCTACAAAATAATTAACTGGAAGATTGTCATCTAGTGTTAATCATTGGCTTATATTAAAATGAATGTTCGTTTCACCATACCCCCTAAAAAATTTCATACAAGTTAATAAGGTCAAATAAGCCTTGAATCCCATCAATAAAACAATAACTTACATTTTATTCCGAAATTAATACAACTAAGAAAATATAAACATATCGACTGAATAGAATTCGGTTTACAACAAAATATCCGTTTCATTCTAGTAAACAAGTGAAATTGTTACACTGCCTAGAAAGAAAGAAATATTCTGTTTATTGACTTTCAATACTTTTACGACTGTCAGCTTACAATGTATTCGGTCTCGATTCTAAGAGATCCTCCATAAATTATAATTCCATCTCTCTAATAAAATGTGTTAGGAATGGTAGTATAGCTCGATGCTCAATAAATATGAACATATAATTTCCGATCACATTTTAACAATTCTGTTAGAAAACAGTTCAAAAATGATGAGAACTGATGTGTATTTTAAGACCAGTTAGTTATCATCTGATATATTCGCCAATCGAAATATGACTTATTCAATCGTAGTACTGTGTTAAACCAATGAGGTTCGACCGGTATGAGTAACCTAGCATCCTTAATAGTCCTTTGATATCCTATACCTTCCATTTAAATTCAGAACACTAATAGTAGCTTCCATTATGTGAATCATTTATTTCAAATATACTCAGTTTATCTATCAGCCAAACAGACTGCATTACACCATAAAATAGGAAATAACATTTATACAAAATAAAGCCAAAAGTGGCTGTAAACGTGGAAGACGTTAATCAAATAACTGAGTATAACTTAAGAATAGTAAATCGTACAATAATGATCTATAAGTCAAAATGAAGCTTATAATCAGCGGAATATGGATACACAGTCTAGTTACTGAATAGTTACACAATAACAATATATATAAAATATTAGTCCATTAATAGTTTATTTATTATTATTTATTTAAACACATAAACATTGATACAAGAGGTACCAAATAGATATGCTCCACATAAATCATTTGATTCGTGTGAGGGCTGTGATACTGCCCGGGTGCCCAGACCGAAGCAGGTGGTTATCTTAGGGGGCCACACCTGGGGCCTTTGACCTGAAGGTCTGACCTACAAGGCAGTGGAGCATCGTAAGGAGATGCAGTCCCATGGAAGCCGGTGACCAACGGTTGGTTCATACGTCATTTGTCCCCGCATGATACTGGAACCCATGTGCACTATTGGTTTGGAATCCGGTTAAAGCCTCGGACATTCGCTTTTCGTCCTCTCATTTTCGTAAACAACACCCCACTCCGCAAGAAGGCAGTGAGTAGGACTTCCCTGGCAGAGTCTGTATACGCCTGGTCGTGTGAGAGCATTTCGAGAGGGAGCGCGGGCCCACCCCACTCTCGGCCATACCAGGGCATTTGGGGGCGTCCATGAATAGTTCTCAAAAGTTACTCGTCATTTAATTTTCACTAAGATATAACAAAAACCTCTCTTTTACTTTTTTTCTTTTAATTTAGAAATGAATTATATAAATGAACAATCAAAACTAAGTATGAAAATGAATAAATAATGATAAATTTCATTTAAACTAGTTAATTAATTAATTTATTTATTAACTATATAAATTGAAGATTTATTTTCACACAGTTTAGATCAATCTATTTCATATTATGGTTAAAACAATATTTTTTATTTATTTTGAACAATGAAAGCAAACAAAACAAACTAATACAACAACTGAAGAAAACTATCTATTATAATTAATCAATTAATTAATAAATAATAATAATAATAACCAATGTTACATTATAATTACAAAAAAATAATTATAATAAGTAATAATGATGTACACAAATGAAAATATAGTCATGTTATTTATTATAAAATATCAATTATTCTTCAATATTTTAGGCAAAATATAACAAATATTCATTATAGGTATCATTACCCAAAATTTGATTGGATAATTTTGAATCAATTAAATGAATTGCACATAATATTCTTATATTGTTTCACTGTATTATTTTAATTGGGTTATTTATTTATTTATTCTGAAGAAGCGGCTTACACTAAGTGACGAAACGTTGGAAAATTTAATTTTTTTTTTACTTATTGGGATATTATAAATATATTAATTTGTGTTTACATAGGTTTTTTTTAACAAAAAATCTTATCAGTCTGTTTTCATTTTCTATGGTTTACTTTCAGTTACTTTTGAAATTATTCCTTCTCAGTATTTTATGTTGTCATTTAATTAGTGAAAAAGTTTATATACGAAGATAATGATGAAATATGAATAAAATTAGCATTACATAACTATATTTATGGTTAATCTGTTCTTGATACGTATTATGCACTAAATTACATGATTGATACAACGTAATAATTTTATCATAAGATAGTATGAATTGTTCATGAATAATATACACATGAATCTACGCCAAAACGTACATACAAACACTGATTTGTTTAAATAGAGACTTAAGATAAAGGACTGTTATACAATGAGTGATGCTCTGAAATCTCAACTAGTTAAACGTACATAATTCATATTCTGTTCATAAATTGTATATACACTGTAATCTATAACATGTTAGATTTATTTCTGCTGTTATTCGTATTTTCATGTTATACAGTGTTCCTTTTGTTCTATTCCTTGAAATAATTTATAATTTCAACTCAAATTATGTACTTGTTATTGTCTGTTAATTATACCGAATTTTTACAAAAGTATCTAACGAAACTCAGGCGGCCGACTATTGTCATTCCACTCAGAAGTATAGACATTTAAACAATTGAAAATCGCATATTATCCATGAAATTATTTCGTGAAGATCAGATAATGTTTAGTCAACATCAAAGAGCGGTGAATTAGGCATTAGATTTTCAACTACCAGACCGCAGGCTCACGACTTATTCGATCCAGCTTCGGCAGCCAGATAATATAATTAGGAGTACAACATAAAGTCATTCATAGGAAGCTCCAGTTGATAAAGGGGTTGTATTATATTTTTATTTATACTTCTGAACATGAAATAAATAAATAATTGAAAAAGATTAAGAACGAGAAGGCTAGTAAACGCGTTTATTCAGCAATATAAAAGATCCTTTGAAGTCAACCGAATAAACGATCTCTAGTATACTTATTGTAATAAAGACGAATCACAAAGATACTTGAAAAGATGTCGGAATTCAGATAAATACGTCCAAAACCAATTACGGTCACATCTTCACTGGATGTTCAGAAGTAACATACATAATTTTACGCATAGTTGAAGCGCTAACTTAATTTTCTCAAAGACTACAAACTTGACTAGTAAACAGTCAGTAAAATGTTTCGGAAGATGCTTTGCAAGGAAGGCTATTCAATAAGTACTCATAAAACATTCAGTCACAAAGTAGCACCTCTACGAATGTATATTAGTCCAAACTGCCAAACCCCGTCAGCACACAGATGAAATTATCAGGTGAAACCCTAGAATGGTAGAAGTAGTGGTAGTATTGGTGGTAATAGGAAAAATTAGGCATCAAAGATACAACTTGAAAAGATAAATTAGTGAATTAAAAACAAACAAGGTATGAAAAATTTGAAATCTCAGAATTTGGGAGAAGACAAAGGGTGGATACACCTGAGCAATGCAAACAATTTCCAGCTATGTCATTTAAAGTCTCTAGCGACTGGTTATGATAATCATGCAGACGCCAACCAGCTTAAACCTATTAACAAGGCTCAGCGCAATTGTCTCGCGAACTGGCGTCATGTTTTGGTTTGACCGCCATAACTTTTTTCCAGCCTACTCCCACACCAGAACACACCACTAGTAGAGGTAATTGGTGGTTGGGCATAGGTAACACACGTCCCAACCACCTCAGCTGACGAAGATTTACTGCCTCATCAACTGATTTCCCTTTTTTACTTGGTCACATGCTTGCATTGCTGCTTAAGGCGGTCAGAAGACTACATCTTGTCAGCGTCTTCACCAAACAATCATCTGCGTATTCAAAGTGAACCTACTGGTAGATAACCAATCCATAAAAAGTCAAACGATGACAGCGTCTCCCTTAAAACCATGTCTGTGAAAAATTTAGATAAATATGAAGGGAACAACTACGATGACAGTTTGCCATAAGATCAGACTCGACCAGAAGTGCTCGAGTAGGAAACCTGTACAAGGTTAACGTACTTCTTTGGTACGCCTTCCATTGACGGACATTGTCACAGCCCCTCACAATCAACAAATTCGAACCATGTCTCAAGGTTAAGGAATACAACAATAGTAAGACATCAAAGAGAATGTCTATGTTCCAGAATCTACTGAAGAGTGAATATTTGGTCTATACATCCACGTCCAGGTCTGAAACTAGCTTGGTTCTCTGGAGTTTGCACTTCACAAGCTCTAGTTAGACGTCGAAGTATTATTGAGGCGAATATTTGAGATACCATAATAGTCAAACAGATTCCTGTGATTACTACAAGAGGATCTTTGTTCTTTCTTATAAACTAGGACTACCAGCAATTGAGGACACTCGGTTGATATTAGGTTGTTTTAAGAATTCAACTAAGATTGCAATCAATGTAACTGCTAAAACTGAACCATCATCTTTAGAAATCTCCCTCGATTTAGATTTCTTATAACCTTCCCAACCTCGCTAAGTGTTGGAGGACTTTCATCGATTTCCTATTCAGGTCGCTTGACGATAGTGGGTAATAAATGTGGCTGAAGGCCACTCGAACTGTTCTCTAAAGTGTTCTGCTCATCAGTTCAATCTCCCGGATTGAGTGAATAATAGTCCCGTACTTTTCTGAGATAGCTTTACTAACGGCCGGATTATAATTCATCCTCTGCACCATTAATCAGATTATTACTTTCGCTTGAACCTGCATAAACATATTGGTTAAACTGAGAATAAATGCAAACTCTTAAAAACATGGTCGTGGAGAATTAGTATGTTATTTAAACAAGTAACTGCTTCTCGTGATTTTACTAGGCAAATTCAAATATTACCGTATATTAAATAGTTATTTCCTCAGTTAGTTCCCGTTATTAGGTGCACACTCACTGTTGATGGTGCTACTTAAACATGGATCCACTAAGCAACCTCAAGACAATGAACCACAGTAAACCACACTTGGAAAGATCCCATAACATACAGATGTGGTGAAACTAACAACTGTCCCAATTACGTCTCAAAATAACAGATTGATACATATGACAGTAGTGACCAAGGGGAGACGGTAAGCAACCATTTAGTTAACGGGGTTTTGCAACGATTATTTTAATTCACAGGCTGTATCCATTACGGCTTGGTCTCGTTTAGGATGCCGCGGACAACGCACGTCCTGGGACGATTCATTATAATAGGTTAGTATGCTGGCTTCTGTAAATTCTGAATATCGAGAAACACTGCACAACATTGAAAACTAAGACTATATATTGTTCTATTAGTTACATGCAGATCTAACATAAAATCATGGTCCAGAAGTCTTAAAGCAGCAATTAGTTCAATCAGGGAAATATTGTCACGGAATTTAGTGAGATTAATTAGATCGAAAACAAACCACCAAAAATAAGCTTTTTCATAGCTAATAATTCAAATGAAGACGGAAATCCTGTATAGTTGTTAGTGATTACTATCAGGACGGATTATTAGTATGTAGCTATAATACATTGCTAGAACCAGAAAGACATTAGATGGATCGCGGTGACGCAATCGAAGTGGATATCAGAAAAAGAAGCTTCGGTCGATATATTGAACGAAGCGGTGTGACAAAAAAACTAGCAGTCATTAACGAAACCTTTGAGTACTATCTTGTGAAAGCATAATAAACTATTCACCAAATCCGGACAGCATTAACACGCTAATATACTCCAAAGATATAAGAAATGAGATATTTTATTCTTAAACAACAGTCTACATAATAAGACAATAAACTAAATCAATTTAGTTCTCCAAGTGAAGTGTTAATTTTATTAATTATTCTTATACTTTAGGATGGCGGAAGTTTTTCCCGGCATATTTTGCTGCTGCTCCCAACTCTTCTTCAATACGTAAAAGTTGGTTGTATTTGGCCAAACGATCAGAACGACATGGTGCACCGGCTTTTATCTAAAACGATAAATAAAAATTATTAATTTATTATTTATTTATTTTAACACATAGATATTGGTACAAGGAGGCACCAAATACATATGCGCCACACATATCTCATTTGACACGTATGAGGGCTGTGATACTGCCCGTGTGTCCAAACCGAAGCAGATAAAGGTATTCAGTCAATATGAAATTGAAGCACTTAAGAGTCAGTGTATGATTACAGTAATGTGGTATTTTACCTTAGTCGTTTAATAACGAATCAACTGGTGTAATATCCACTTTTTAATTAAAACAATAACTATACGTCATTTAAACACTTTTGATAATTGTAGTTGTTTGGCAAGTTGCGTATAAGCAATTCGCCCTCCTGTTATTAGCGTAATCCATTCATGTGACTAGAATTAACTGTGAAAGAATAAATTATAAATCCTACCTATATTAGTATATTACAAGGAACGGAATTTGAAAAGAATG